CAGTGGTTAGTGACTCAGAGTAGGGTCTGGAAGGTCCTGGTTCAAATCCCCTGCTCTGCCATGAAATTTGCTGGGTATCCTTGGGCCAGTCACTCTCTCTCTCAGCCTAACCAACCCCACAGACCTGTTCTAAGAATAAAACGGGAGATGGAAGAATGATGCATACTGCCGTGAGGTCTTTAGAGGAAGAGGAGAATTAAAATGTACTAACTGAATAAATACATACAGCAGGACAATGGTTTGGAGTGGGTCAGCAATGCATGCCTGGGCAATGGTTACAGATCCAAGAAGGTATGCTCTTATTTGAAAAAGAAAGGTGGGCCTTCCCCAAAGGGACTGGCCCCTCAGGGCTAAAGAGATACTTCTTATTCTTGATTGGCTCCCCTGCAGCATGGTGGGGAGATGACCACTCCAGTACATTCCAAAGCCCCACTGCTGGATCCCAACTGGCTCTCTGAAGGCATTTCTGGCACAGGATTCAGCCAGTATGACCAAAAGCCAAACTGACTCTCCACAACTTTTAATTCCATGTTGCGTATGTCCCCCAACACACACACACAAACTTGCTCTCCTGTTTTTCTTTCTTAATCTCTGATTTATATGGGCAGTAATTACACAGATGTATCAATATATGTAATTCAGTAATTTTTTTCTCAGTTAATTTTTTTTTAAGTGGTATATGAAAGGGAAAAACGGCAAGAGAAAGTGTAAATTCATCAAAAGTTATAAAATATCATGAATAGTTACATGCAATAAGTAGAATCAATTGTATTAGTAAAAATAAATTGTTCAAATATAGAAGCAGCAAATAAATCATAATTATTACAGTATTCAGGAATAAATTAACTCTTTGAAATAAGAAACAAGATATTTCTGAATATTCAGTGACAGTCTAATAAAAATAAATGAGATTACATCTTTAACCATTCAATAAATTTCTACACTAAGTTTAAACCATCCTTAAAACCTGGCTATCATTTATCACATTATAAGTCTGATTTTTACTAAATATCTTCAATACTTAATGCAGTACTAAATAAAGAGATTTAAACTGTAAATATCATCATCTTTAATGTAATATTCAGATAAATTTTAAAAAATTAAGAAATTTAACTACTCCCATAACATAAGTAATAAGCTTTCCGTTTCTGCTAAAAAATTTTCAAGTGTCTTTTATTTATATTGTTAGTTAGTTACTTTTGCCATTGTTGCATACTCAAGCAAATTTTTCTTCCCAAATCTCTGTTGTGGAACATTCTTCTGTCTTCCATTTCATTGCAAATGTTACTTTAGCAACTGTCAACATGTATCTGAGTAGATCTGGTGAATTTTTTTCTATACTGTCTGGCAGACAATTCCCTATAACATAGTCTTTGGTTTAATCGGGAATTTAGTTTTAAAAATATTTTGAATTTTTTCATGTATATTTTCCAGTATCTCTTCGTCTTGATGCAAGTCCACCACATAAGATAAAAGGTGCCTTCTGCTTCTTTGCATTTCCAACAGGACCCTTTGTATTTATTTATTTATTAGTTATATTTATATCCCGCCCTCCCCGCGGATGGGCTCAGGGCGGCTCACATTTCCCAGCATAATATAGCCGGTTAGCATAAAACATTTAAAACCAGTTAAACAATCGTACAATATTACTTAAAGTGCTCGTCTTGGTAGTCCATCAATAAGTTAAGGTAGTGTACTATGAGATGACATACTAAGATCCCTAGTAGTATTCAGGTCTCCCACGACAGGGCCAGCCCCCACCAGAGATGTTATTGATAGCAATAGTTGGTGGTAGTGGATGGCGGCTCCTAGTTGAAAGTCTGGTGGAAGAGCTCCGTCTTGCAGGCGCTGCAGAACTGTACAAGGTCCTTTGTAATTCTTATCCATCTTTTCAATATCTTTTGGAGTGACGCACCACCGGTAAAACATCTTATACCAGTTTTCTCAATAATGTTTTAAAACTACATAACTTAAGTGAAGTCAAAGAAACAAAGGGATTTTAGAAGCCCACAGCCAAAGAACTGGCTAAACAGTTCACATTCATATGTGAAATCCAGGTCACAATGTTAGAGACATGGCAGAAGTCAGAGACAGCATAAATCTCCCTTCCACTTGACTCTTAAAGGAACAGCATGTCTTTTCCCCGCCCAGAATGCAAGCTTCACCCCTGTTCCCCCTTTTCCATCTACACTCTCAGATTCTTGCATTCTACTGGCCACCTTCTTTTTGCCATTCTACTTCTTGGCTCACTGGCCTTGAGTGACATCCTCATGTTTAGCACTCCAGTCTTCAGAATGCCCCACACAGCAACTTCATCGACAGTTCTAATCCCAGCCAAACTGATAAATTTCCCCTTCCTTCACAGAAGTAGGGCTGCAAGGATTACAACAGTTTTTCATTCCTGAGCAACTGTGGAATGTTTATGGGCATTCTGCAACATCATGCCAGTTCCATCCACTGGTACCAGAAGTGCCAATGTCATAATCACAACCCAGTGTTTACATATGTTGATTTCTGAATTTCTTCATATTCTTGTTAATGGTTTAAATTATTTTTAAAAATTAAACCAAAGAGAACAATATATATGAGTGTACTTTATCACAGAACTTTGTATTCCAGTATTTAATAAAAAGAACCCAATTCTTCACTAATCTATTAGATTATAGGTTTCTTGCTTCTCTTGTGTATTCTTTAACCACAAAAGCAAAATCCTTAATATGCTTCAGTATTGATGATGAAACTTTGCTAAATTTAAGTTGCTACAAACTTGAATCTGCATTGCGCAACTTTCAGTAACAGCTATTCAGCACCTCAGGTTCAGCAAAATTACCCCATGACTAAATAAGCTGAATTCTATCAAAATGCTTTGCCTGAAAGCTCTGCTCTTACACCAGCTTGCCTCAGACATACATTTTCTGAATTTGAACTGCAGGAGCTCTTCAGTCTTATTATCTGTCCTCAAACAGCACACCATCCTGTGTCTCCTAACTGGAAGAAGGCAAGCCTAGAGTAGTGACTTGTGCAGACACACAACAGGCAACCTCCACAGAGGGTAGATAATTCTGCTGTGTCTCTGCATCAGAAATGATCAAGTGATCCAGTTACACCTGAAGCACAGATGTGCCCCCCAAAAAAACAGCCCTTTTCTGGTGGAAGAAAACTGGAAGGAAGCACAGCCAAAGCAGTGACTCATTCAGACATTCAGCAGACATCTCTGGTTGTGTAAGTAGGCATTCTGGGCTCAAAAGATGCTTTCGTTTCTTCCTCTCCTGGCACTCAATTTAGGATTTTTTGGTACACCTAAGTTGCCTTTAATTAAGAGAACTCAACTGAGATGAAACTGACCAGAATAGAGGCAAAGTCTAAAACCTGCTCTCAAAGAGTGATGGAGAGAGGGAGAGGAGGCCTAAAACTGGAGAAAATCATCTTCATTTCCCCCTCCTCCCTTTGCAGCTGACTGCCAAACTGTGACCCTTGAAAATGTTGGAGAAAGCAAAGCTGTTGCCCTGAAAGGCAAGGGTACTATGCTTCATGTGTGAATACCCATCAGAATTTCACAGGCTCAGATAGTGTGACTATGTACCCAAAGTGAGCCAAAGTCTCTACATCCGCAGCCAGGATGAGATGGTGAGATTTAGCTACTCAGCTCCCACGACAGTGAGAACTAAGATGGCTGGCTGTTCCCATCACCCTTTGGACCCATCAGCCCAACCCACATAAAAGGAACTAAATCACACCCCCTTCCCCTCCTTCTGACCATATCTCTGCAACTCAGGCACTCTTGGTAACCCAAATGACAGATTGTGGGATCTATATTAGTAATTATCGACTGATATTGATGGAGTTTCCCAGGCTTTCTTCAAAGCTGCTCACAAATTGCTCCAGGCAAGCAAGGGTCCTTCATCTTGTCAAAACATCTCTCTCTCTCTCTCTCTCTCTCTCTCTGTGTAAGTAACTGTCAAAAGCTTGCACATGACAAAGATTCACAGCCACAAAGTCTTTGTAGAGTAGTGCCTTAGAGCCTGAGCTACGAATCAGGAAGTCCCCAGTATGAATCTCGCCTCCTCCTTAAACTCACCAGGTGGTCATAAGCAAGCCATTCTCTCTCCAAGTGCAACTGGCCAGCTTAGGAAGTCTGTTGCAAGGATTCCAATACGGCAACAAATAAGTACTTTAAGCACTGAAAGCCACTTTATAAATGCTTAACAACAACTACACCTTTGTCTCAAAGCAGCAAAGACCAATTTGATGTCAAACTCTGTTGAAGAGTCATCCTTATCCCTGCATTGCCAGAGCACCAGCAGTCCTGCTGCATCAGACCAAAGATCCAGCATCCTGTTTCCCACAGTTGCTAGCAAGATACCTCAGGAATTACTACAAGCAGGGCACAGAGACCAAAGCCTCCCTTGCTGTTGCTGCACAGCAAATGGCATTCAGAGATACACTGCCTCTGAACATGGAGGTTCCATATATACAACGATGGACCTCTGCTTCATGAATTTGTCCAATAACTTTTTCGAGCCACCTAAGCTAGTGCCTTCTGCAACATCTTTTGGCAGTTGGTTGCTTACATTAATTGGCACTGCATAAAGATATGTTTCCTTTTGTCTGTCCTGAACTTTCATCTCCCCATCAACTTCATTGGCCCCCCAAATTCTAGTATTGTAGGAGAAAAACTATCTCTATCCACTTTCTCTATAACATCCATAATTTTACATGTAAACTTCTGTCCCCCCACCCCCGGTCATCATTTTCCTGAACTAAATAGTCATATGCCTTAAGCTCACAAGGTCCCACAGTAGCACATTTCACACTCTTTGAAACATCACCACTCCAGAACAACCAACCATGCCAATCTATTCCAGCTGACAATGAAGAAAAATAAGAAAAATCATGAACCTCTCTTAAAACCACTCCTCAAGGAAATGGCAGAATGATATCAAGGACACAAAAGACTAAAACAGCATCTGAGGAGAAAAGAAAGCCACAAGCAATCCTACCTGGCATCGACTGAAGACGTCAGCCAAAGTCACCTGGATACGAAAGTGTTTCAGGACCCAGAGAGCTTGTTCCTTGGCCTTCTCCGAACAATCCACCAAGCAACACCTTCCTTCTCCCACCTGAGAACGCAGCTATGGAAAGACACAAAGATGGATGCTAGAGAACTAATTTAGTGCAGCGGCTCAAGGGTGGAATTAGGACTGAGGGGACTTGGGTTCAAATCTCCACTCACTTCCAGTGGGGGACCTTGGGCCGGTCACTCTCTTTTAGTGTAAGCTACTCCCCAGAGTTATTGAAGGATAAAATGGAAGAGGGAAGAACCAGGTATGCAATCTTGACACCCCCCTGAAGGACAAGAGAGAGACAGAAATAGGCAGAGAGAAAGAGTGAATATAATATTTGCATCAGGGATTAGCCTCATATCACCACTGATCCCTCCAGTAGTGGTAGATGGCTTGGGGCCCCCCAAAGTGCTTATAGTTTACCCTCTTCTGTCAGAAGAGTAGGGGGAGGGAGCAGGTTTTCTTTCTACCATCGAGTGCTGCTAATGTTACACTTATCCTGAGGAAGATGAGCAAACAGCAGCTACTCACGGTGATACTTCCTTTCACATGTATGCTCAGGCCTGAAGTGGAAATGTCAAGTGGAAACAGCTGTGCTGCTGCAAACCCAACAACCCTTGGGCCTAAGAAACAAAATTTTGGCTGGATCTAAAATCTGCAGCAGAAAGAGCTATAAAGTCCTAAGGTGGTAGAAGGTTCTATTCCACAGAATGTAGGTGAAGGGACTCATATTTGCAATGCTTCTTTATATTCTGTACTCTCTACAGGTAGAAATCTAGCAGAGCAGGGAGTAAGCTGTAATCTGTGTGGGAGGGGGAATGTTCCAAAATGACATCCTTCAACAACATCCTTCCACTCCTGCCTCGAGTGGGATATATACAAGTGACCCATTCTGCCATCTCAAGATGTTACCACCTCTTTTTGCTGCATGAGCAGATGAAGCCTGAAGCTTCATCATTGACACCAAAGAATTTAGCACACACTCACCGTCTGATATGGAAGCCCAGAGGTAAGAATTACTCGGTCTTCTTGTATGGCAATCTGGAAAGAAACAACATCACAGTTTAATCTAGGCAGAGGTGGACAACGAAAGAAAGGTTGATGGCTATGGAATGGAGTGAGGCCTCTTTCAGAGATGGATTCCTTCTTTGGAGGGCATTCTGTTACACCCACTCTCTTAGATTGGCTGTCTGAGAAGGTTTTTGATATAACAGGGTGAGGTGGGTATGCAATGCCAAGTTGCTTTTATTACTTGGCTTTCTGCCAGGTTTAGCTGAGTTTTCTTTGTTGTTTTTCATTATTATATTGGTTTTATTGGCAAAACACTTGTTTCAATAGGTGGTATGTGTGTCTGTGTTCTGCTCACTGATACATTGAACACCCCCCCTCCCCTGAGGAAGTCTTATCAATGAGGGCCTGGCCACTGAGTAGTCAGAGGCAGAAAATGGAAGATTTGTATTCACTTACCGTGAAGCTTCCTTCTCGGTGGTCCAGAGTGGGGCAGTCCTTGACTCCTTACTCCTGGGAAAGCATCTCCCGTAGGCAGGGCCAGAAAACTTTGATCCCGGAGGGGAGGGGCTTATCCTCTGATCCCCAGTCATACCGAAACCCACCTCTGAGCTGCTGTAAATTCACTTAAAAATAACTCCTTCCCCCTCAGATAACGGGGGAATACCATCACAGTCATGGGCTTAAGCAAATACAAACCTGTATTTTAACCATTAGAGAAAACAAACAGCAACAGTCCACCACATCACGTAATCAGTTAGACCATATTCATGAACAACTGAACCACTGCAAAACCTCATGCCCAACTCCAGGTCCCGAGGGACCAGAAGTCGTGTCCATCAAGAGAGGGTGGGTAGGACTGCCCCACTGGACCACCGAGAAGGAAGCTTCACGGTAAGTGAATACAAATCTTCCATTCTCCGGTGGTCCAGGAGTGGGACAGTCCTTGACTCCTTACTCCTGGGACATAAAAAAGCAGTGCTCCCCCCGGGTGGGTCGCATGACTTCCGGTGCCTACAGGGCCTGAAGTAGCACTCTCCTGTCAAATGCTGCTTCTGCCGAGGCTACTTCGTGAATCCTATAGTACTTTGTAATGGAATGGACAAATTTCCATGTCGTCACCTTACAAGTGACTTCTAGGGACGGAAAGGCCCTATATGCCACCGACGTGGCTGCCCCCTGTAGAGACTGCGCTGTGACCCCTGCTGGAGGTACCAACCCCTGCACCTTGTATGCCTGACTGATCCAGTTCCTTATCCACCTGCTCAGGGCAGAAGTGGAGACACTTCTTCCCAGGGACAACCGACGAACATACACAAATCAGGATTCAGTCTTTCTCAACCCCCTAGTCCTGTCCATATAGAAAACTCAAAGCCCTACGCACGTCTAGACGATGCCAGACCGTCTCCATCTCATGGCCAAGTCTTGAAGAAAAGGAGAGAAGTACCATATCCTCCAATCTATGGAACCGGAAGTTAACGTTGGGGATGAACGCTGGGGCTGGTCTGAGGACAACCCTATCGTTGTAGAAGGTACATAAATCTGTGTGTACCGACAGAGCTCTCAGCTCCCAAAACCTACGCACTGAAGTGATCCTCACTAAGAAATTGTTTTCAGAGTAATGTCTTTTATGGGACATGATGCCATTGGTTCAAACGGCTCCTTGCATAGTGCTCGTAGCACTGTATTTAAATTCCATGCGGAGAACCTGTGTACCTGTGGTGGGTTAAGGAGGGAGGCCCCCCTCAAAAACCATCATATGTACGGGTGATGGGGAAAAAACCTACCTTTCCTAGCCCCTCCAACTATGGAAAGGGCCGTTACCTGTCACCTTAGAGTACTCGTACTCAACCCTTTACTCGGACCCTGGTGGAGGAAAGCCATCCCCAACCTACGCCCGCATCGGGTCCAACCCCTGCTCACCGCACCAGTTAGAAAATGTTTGTCAAGATCTATCATATATCTTGGTCATAGAAAATTTTCTGTACGCCAAGAGCATGGAAACCACCTCTGCCTCATATCCCAGAGCTTCCAACTGTCTCCTCTCAACCTCCACGCTGCGAGTTCTAGCATGTCCCGTCGCAGATGAACGGTCATCTCCTAAGATAGAAGGTACATTCTGAGAGGCAGCCGCCATGGATCCCATCTGGAGAGACTCATGAGGTCCTGGAACCATGTCCTCCGTGGCCAGAAGGGCTCTATCAGAATCACATCTGCTCTTTAATCTACTGCCCGCTGTACCACTTCTGGGAATCAGCGTTAGGAGCGGCAAGGCATAGAGTAGAGTTCTCGGTCATGCTAGGAACATGCTCGGTCATGCCCCTTTCATGTGAGTTTTGGACGCAAACTTTTTTACTTGTCGGTCTGTCTTGACGCAAAAGGATCCACCTCTGCCTTTCCGAATCTTTCGCTGATCTGTTGGAAGGCGTCCCTGTGTAGCATCCACTCCGCATGACCTATGGTCTGCCTGCTTAGCCAGTCTATTAACACGTTTCTCTTCCTGCCACATGGGTGGCCTTTAAGGATAACACATGCTCCTCTGCCCATTGCAGCATTACTTGCATTGCTCCCCGGTGTAGCCATTGTGATCGCGTGTTTCCCTATCTGTTAATATAGGCTTTCGCCGTCATGTTGTTCATTTGAATCAGAACATGACTGCCTACCAGTTGCGTCTGGAGGCGAGCCAGAGCCAACTTTATGTCCCTGAGTTCCAGGAAGTTGATGCTCTTGGATGTTTCCGACTTTGACCAGGTGTCTTGACCATGTGTCCCATGGAATGCGCTCCCCAGCCAAAGAGACTTGCATCCGTTGTGAGCACGGTCCTCTGAGGTTCCCTCAGAAGTATCCCTTCTGTGAACCGAGTCGGAACTAGCCACTACTGTAACCCTGTCCTCACAGACTGTGGTAACTCTACCTACTTGACTATCTTGTAGTCTATTTCTTCTGGTAGTGAAGAAAGAAAACGCTGCAGGGGTCTCGTATGAACTCTAGGCCACGGTAGTAGGTCTTGGCATGACACTATCATGCCCAGGAGACATGTTAGAGTCATCACCTCCGATGTCTAAATGTTTAGACCTGATGTAAGATAAGTGAGAACGTTACTAACCTCTCCTGGGACAGAAGAACCCTGTCCTGTCTTGTGTCTATCCGCACTCCCAAGTGTGTAATTACTTGAGTCGGCTCCAGGGTACCCTTCTCCCTGTTAATGACACAACCGTGTTCCTGTAGTATTTGGATTGTAAAGTCCAAGTGTAGGCTCGCCTGGTGACTGGACTCTGCCTGGATCAGGACATCATCCAAGTAAGGAAAACAGGACCACTCCTCTCAGACTTAGGAAGGCCACTAGTGTTCCCAGGACCTTGGAGAAGCTCCGAGGCGAGGACTTGAGTCCAAAGGGTGAGGCTCAATATTGGAAATGTTTGCCGTGATATGCAAAATGTTCTGTGATTGTCTCTTGTCAGGATGTATAGATAGGCTTTCGCCAGGTCTATGGAGACCATGAAGTCCCCTGCATGTATGGAGGAAAAAGTTGGACCTCAACATCTCCATCTTGAACTTTCATGATTGCACATGTTTGTTGACCTACTTCAAGTCCGAGATGGCCCTAATGTTCCCGTTCTTCTTGGGGATCGTAAAGGTACTCCGTCTCGGGTACCATCTCTATCGCTCCAATGCCCAACAGATGATAGATGGCCTGTAACATCATCTTGTGTTTTTCCTGGTGATCCTTTCCTTGGGATCTCCAAGAAAAGTTGTTTGTAACTCTTTTGAACTCTAGTGCATAGCCATGGGGCACCGTCTCCAGGAACCACTTGTCCAACACAGTCTGGTGCCACTGCCCAGAGAAAGCTGTACTCTTGCGCCTATAACTTCCATTGTCTTGGCATAGTTATGCCGAAGTTCCCTTCTTGGGTCCTTTAACACCTTGTCCGGATTTTCCTGTGAGGTCGAATGACCTATTGTCTCTAGGCTTGTTATGCCATTTGCCTTTTGTTGTTTGCCATCACGACTGAGGTCTCGAAAGGACTGTGGTCTTCTCTCTTTCTCTCTCCCCCTCCGCACATTGCCAGTTCTCGATGGATACCTACCGTGGTTCAGCCGACCGGGTAGATGTGTAGGAGCCATGTCCCCCCTCACCACGATCTGGAACAAGGAGGGGGACCCGTTCCAATGCTGAAAGGGACGGCGACAGAGTTTCCGCGCCACCCTTGGCCACCTCTCTTGCCTCCGCTCTCCCAGGCTCTTCACTGAGCATCTGTCCCCAAAACCACTGCACGCTGCCACGACTGGATGGAGGGGGGGAGCAGTTTACTGCTGCCTTCCCAGCAAGGTCCGAGGTGTTCCTATTGGTGCCGCGACCGCCTGGGGGCCTCCCAGGTCTGCCGGCGCCGGATCCATGGTAATTCGAGGCCCGCAGCTCTCAAATATGTTTTAGGGCTGGAAGGTAAGTAGCACAGCCAGCACGTCCTGCTCAGAAGGCAGGGCCGGTAAGACTGGGGATCAGAGGATAAGCCCCTCCCCTCCGGGATCAAAGTTTTCCAGCCCTGCCTATGGAGGGGGGAGGTGCTTTCCCAGGAATAAGGAGTCAAGGACTGCCCCACTCCTGGGCCACCAGAGAATAGTATTTGCCCCCAACAGTGTCCCCCCAAATGAGCAGCAAATAATTACTTAAGACAGAAAGTTGTGAGGTACACCAGGGACAACACTGGGGGGGGGGGGGGGCTTGTGAAAACATCCTCAACTGATCAGAGCAAACATGAGGGCTAGAAACATGATTCTTTGTCATTCTGTAAATGACTATGGGGATTCTCAAGGAATTGAATGGAAGATGAAATTCTACAGGAGGACTACAGCCATTGACTAAACTACCTGGATCCAACAGTGCTAACTTGTCTTCCCTTTTCATACCATTTTCTCTTTGATGTATCAAAACACCAGATCTATTAAGCTACATTTCTCAGACAAAGGAGATGGGAGGGGGGCTGGGAGAGGAAGGGAGAAAGGAGGCATTTTTATCTTTGATTATCCAAGCACAGATCAAAGCTGCTGGCAGTGCAGTAACCCTCCACCAGCTTTGGATAACTAAAGGGATGTTTGTCCAGTCTCCATGGAGACAGCAATCTGAAAACATTCTCTCTGTAGCAAGAAAGAGTATTGGGAGGGAAACATGGAAAGAGCTTTCTGGAACAAATCTTTAATGGAGGGCTTGAGCCAGGCCTCCCCAGGTCTTAGTCCTGGACCCTCTTTTTGGCTAATATAAGAAGTTGTCCTGTTCCAAATCAAGCCACTGTTTCACTTAGCCCAGTGGCAGTGGCTCTTCAGGGATTCAGGCAGGGAAAGATCTTTCCCACAACATGCTATCAAAGATACTTTAACTGGGGATTGCCAGGGATTAAACTAGTCCAGCTATTCCATTTTTTAAAAAAGATATGGCAACCAGGTTTCCCATCAGCATGAAAGAACAGGTGATCGGAACCTGTGACACCCCCCATGGCCTATTTCCATCAAAGGCACTGTGCTGAATCACACTTTCCTTGGGACATGTGAAGCAAGAAAAAAAGTGACTTGAATGTGTACTGAGCACTTTCCCTTAACTCCAAGTAATTGCATCCCTTCCCAACAACCTGGGCTACAGACAGAAGGCAATGAACTCTAGCACTGCACACCCCACTTCAGATTAAGCCCCAGGCTCTCTGTCTTGTGAGCCAGCTGAGGACTGACCTTGGCTGCCTTCCTGTGCTCATCATCATTCTCAAGCATCCGGACATCTACTCCAAGGCAGCGTAGATACCGCCCCAGGCCTTGTAGCATGTTGTCACAGACCACGCGGAAGTCTCGAACCGAGATAGATACTGAAGAGCTCGTGGTCTCTTCCACGCTTGCTGCAGACTTCTGCATGGAGCACATAAACCACATAAGGAGTTTATTGATTTATAATTCACCACCAACATTGGGGTGGGGACTGTCCTGTGTCCATTAGGGCTCAAGGTTGACTAACAACGTGTATAAAACAGAAACACAAGGTGCACAGTTATTGGTTAATACACAGTTTACAAAGAAGGGATGAAAAGTTCAAAGTGCTTCACATTCAGTATTTCTGTAATCCTAATGACAACCTTTATAGTCTTATATGGCCTTTATAGTCAACAAGAGAGTACAAAAATCAGTATTGGGATACAATCTCAAAAATGACAGAATGATCTCGGTCCGATTCCAAGATAGAGTGCCTGAAGAACTATGGACAGAGGTTCGTGACATCGTACAGGAGGCAGCAATCACCACCATCCCAAAGAAAAAGAAATGTAAGAAAGCAAAGTGGCTTTCTGATGAGGCTTTACAAATAGCAGAGGAAAGAAGGAAAGCGAAAGGCAAAGGCGAAAAGGAAAGATTTACCCAACTGAACGCAGATTTCCAGAGAACAGCAAGGAGAGATAAGGAGGCCTTCCTGAATGAACAGTGCAAAGTAATAGAAGAAAACAATAGAATGGGAAGGACTAGAGATCTCTTCAAGAAAGTTGGAGAAATCAAGGGAGCGTTCCATGCAAAGCTGGCCATGATAAAGGACAAAAACGGTAGGGACCTAACAGAAGCAGAAGAGATTAGGAAAAGATGGCAAGAATACACAGAAGAACTATACAAGAAAGACCTCGATGTCCTTGACAACCACGACGGTATAATCACTGACCTCGAGCCAGACATCCTGGAATGTGAAGTTAAATGGGCCTTAGAAAGCATTGCTAACAACAAAGCTAGTGGAGGTGATGGTATCCCAGCTGAGCTATTCAAAGTCTTAGAAGAGGATGCTGTTAAAGTTCTGCACTCCATTTGCCAGCAAATTTGGAAAACGCAACAGTGGCCACAGGATTGGAAAAGATCAGTATACATTCCAATCCCAAAGAAGGGCAATGCCAAGGAATGTTCAAACTATCGCACAATTGCACTCATATCACACGCTAGCAAGGTCATGCTCAAGATCCTACAAGCTAGGCTTCAACAGTACGTGGATAGAGAACTACCAGAAGTACAAGCTGGGTTTCGAAGAGGTAGAGGAACTAGAGATCAAATTGCCAACATTCGCTGGATTATGGAGAAAGCAAGAGAGTACCAGAAAAATATCTACTTCTGCTTCATTGACTATGCTAAAGCTTTTGACTGTGTGGATCACAACAAACTATGGCAGGTCCTTAAAGAGATGGGAGTACCAGACCACCTCACATGTCTCTTGAGAAACCTGTATAAGGGCCAAGAAGCGACAGTTAGAACCGGATATGGAACAACTGATTGGTTTCGCATAGGAAAAGGAGTACGACAAGGATGTATATTGTCGCCTTGCTTATTTAATATATATGCAGAGTACATCATGCGAAATGCTGGCCTAGATGAATCACAAGCAGGAATTAAGATTGCGGGGGAAAAGATCAACAACCTCAGATATGCAGACGATACCACTCTGATGGCAGAAAGTGAAGAGGACCTCAAGAGCCTCTTGCTCAGGGTAAAAGAGGAGAGCGCAAAAGTGGGCTTGAAGCTCAACATCAAAAAAACTAAGATCATGGCATCCGGCCCCATCACTCCTTGGCAAATAGAAGGGGAAGCTGTGGAAGTAGTGACAGACTTCACGTTCCTGGGATCCCAGATCACCGCAGACTGTGACAGTAGTCATGAAATTAAAAGACGCCTGCTCCTTGGGAGGAAAGCGATGGCGAACCTAAACAGCATGATAAAAAGTAGAGACATCACCCTGCCAACAAAAGTCCGCATGGTCAAAGCAATGGTATTCCCAGTAGTCATGTATGGCTGCGAGAGTTGGACTATAAGGAAGGCCGAGCGCAGAAGAATAGATTCTTTTGAACTATGGTGCTGGAGAAGACTCTTGAGAGTCCCTTGGACTGCAAGAAGAACAAATCAGTCAATCCTCAAAGAAATCAACCCTGACTGTTCCCTGGAAGGCCAGATAATGAAACTGAAGCTAAAATACTTTGGCCACCAAATGAGAAGGGAGCACTCACTGGAGAAGACCCTGATGCTGGGAAAGATTGAAGGTCAAAGAAGACGGGGACGGCAAAGGATGAGATGGTTAGACAGTGTCATCGATGCAATGAACATGAAGTTGAGCAAACTTCAGAGGATGGCGGAAGACCGGAAGGCCTGGAGGGAGCTGGTCCATGGGGTCGCAAAGAGTCGGACTCGACTGTGCGACTGAACAACAACAATGACAACCTTGTAAGGCAGGTCATAATTATAATTCCCTTAATACAATTCATGCTCTTTGCAACTGTGCTATGCCAGCTATCACTGAGCAAGTCTTTGCAACAGCCCCAGTATCAAACATGGCAACAAACCTCACTGCAAGTTGGTAGCATCCTTTGCTTGTTTGGCAGCTTCTTTGCCTTAACTTCAGTGCACACCTTCTTTGGATGAAGCACCAGACTGTTGACATTCAGGCCAAAGCCAGCCAGATCTTGCTGTAATTTTGTGTAAACCTCCAACAAACAGTAAGCATCCAATGCTGCAGTAATAAAGCAACAGGTGACCACAATGGAATAATGGTATTCTGCAAGCCTTTAGCACTTTAGGGTATTCACAGGAATTCTCATCCTTACAAGCAGCCCTATAAGGTACAGCAACAGGGGTCATTTTGTAGAAAAAGAGGTGCAGGAGCTCATTAGCATAACTTATTAGCATAACTTATTTGCATATGCCACACCCCCTGACATCACCGGAAGTGTGTCACAAGGCAACATCCACCGCTCAGGCTCCACTGGACTGTTTTGGATTGCTAGCTATCAGAGAGGGGGGGAATGTGCAGATTCATCCCTGCAGAGGAGGGAGAGCTTGTACCTGAATAAAACTTGGTCTTAAAGGTGCCACTGGACTGTTTTGGACCGGGGAGCCGGGGTGGCTCTGCAACTTACCTGGCTGCTTCTTGCTCTGACTGAGGGGTGCTGGGAGCAGGGGGTGGGGCTTGTTGCATGTGCCCGCCCCCTGGGCTCTTTACTGCCGGAGCTCCGCTCCTGTGCGCTCCTGCAGGAAATGACCCCTGTACAGCAATATTAATATCCCAAGTCTGCAGATAGAAACTAAGGCAAACATCATAGGGGCTTGCCTGAGTGTGCTCATGGCAGAGGAAAGATTTGAACTAGGGATCATAGATCAGTCTCTACACTCAGATGGTAATCTTTATTTTTATTTATGTTTATTAAAATATTTATATCCCACTTCCCCTCCACCATCATCAGAGCAAAGTGTTCAAAGCAGTATACAAAAAGATCACATCAACAATCAAATCATTTCAGTTAAGACCACACATAAGTAAAGAGTGTAAAAGCAAGCAGAAGGTTCTTTTGCCTTCCTCTGGGCATAGAGCAGGGGTCACTGGGGGTCACTGGGGGAGTATGGGAGACAGGTAGTTTTGAATTTCCTGCATTTTATAGGAGGTTGGACTAGATAACCCTTGAGGTCCCTTCCAGTTCAATGTTTCTATTGTTGCAAACAATACCTAGGCTCCAGTCACACGGGCAGGAAAATGCGGGGGGGGGGGGGGGAGGGGGGGGGTTGCGGCTGTTTGCCCCGGGGCAAACTAATGCACGGGTTAAGCGATCAGACCTCCCGTGGAGGTCCTGTGGAGGTACCGTGGAGGTTCCGTGGGTAGGGAGAGGTGCCGATCACAGGACAAGCCTGCGCGCAACGAAGAAGCGCGCGGTGCGGCAAACTGGTTTTCTTTTTTTGTGTACACGGCAAATGTGCATGCTCCGTTGGGTGTGTGCGCGCATCCACGGAGACTTGGGGGGAAAAAACACCTTTTTTGCAAGGGGACATGGGCGGGTGCCGGATGCCACCGGAAACGCGATCAGAAGCCCGCCCTTGCCCCGCGGTTTCCGGAAACTAGTACCTCCGAGGTACTAGTTTTTTGCTGCGCGTTTTCGGCGGGAAGCATCGGTTGTGCCACGGAAGCGCTACACTTTCCAGATGTGCCGGTGAGATCGCGCCCGGAAACTCTGCCTGTCTTCCGTCTCTCTTGTGTGGCTAATGTTCCGTGTGACCGCAGCCCTAGTTTGTTGCTGGTTAGATTTTTAAGCAGCAGCAGGACATGATCTTTATAGCAGCAGAGACAGACATAGGTGGATACCTGCCAACCCAGTTCCTGAAGTAGAAACATGAAGCAGGCCAGGTAAGTCTACAGATCACATAGATCAGCTCTAAGCAGTGACAGAAGGTACAATAGCCACACCTGCATAAAGGATCTGCCCTTCCCTTAGCGGCCTCTTCTCCCAATTGGACAGCTGCTCCGTTTTGTCAAGAGGTTTCCCAAGGACGTGCTGCACCAGCAAGCTAAGCCCCTTCTCCGGTGGCATGCCACACTGTGCTTCCTCATCCTCCAGAGGTAAAGCATCTATCTTCCGGCAGCCCTTCTTTATCACCCCAGAGCATTTGGGTAGCTGAAGAAGAAAAGAGTCGAAGCAGAGAGTGACACCTCTTGATTTTTGAACAAGGTGAAAACTAAGGGCCAGGCTTTATTTCAACAATCTTTTATCTTAATGTTCTTTCGCTACAGTTTGGGTATGATTGGGAGGACAGTGGGGAAAGAACAGCTCAGGGTTCTTGCAGAATCAAAGCCGACTTTGGGCATTCTTCTAGGGCAATCACCACAGTTAGAGGATGACAGAGGGATCAAAAGCACAGAACATGAAGAATGGCAGAAATTTGCCAAATTTACCTTCCCCAAAGCAAACAGACACCCTCCCCCCACTCTTGGGCAAATTTTGGTGTGTGTTTTTCAAACCTCCGTAGCTGGCTGTGAGCAATCTGGCTTCAACTGACTGAAACAAGGCTTCTCTCTAGATACCAAATGTGCCACTGTTCAGCAGCAAAGGGAACAGGAAGCACTACTGAAATACAGTCTAGTGTACTGCACACAGTTGAAACAAACCACGGTTCATTGTGACAGCTGAATGCAGCCATAGTGTGTGTGTACAAGATAGATATGTGGACAACAAGCTAGATATGTGCAAGTCTTGTGTGTGTATACAAGACTATTGTGGATAAGTAGCATGAATGGTAAAAAAAACCTGAGTAAAATGGGGATGGATACAGAGAAAAGATTTTAAAAGTCACAACTGCAAATCTACACAGATCTGCCTGTGTACAACCCTGTTCCTCAGCTGAGTGGACAAGTAAAGTGCATCTGGATAGGGCCCATTTTAATCCCTTCTCAAGATGCTTCTATCCACCACAGAGAAGGACTACTTCCTCTCTAAGTAGCAAAACAGAGGATTCTGGAATATCATGCCTGACTAAGGAAGCTTGGAGACATCTTCTAGAGGGGAAATTCAGCCTTTTCATCCTTACTTGTTTGTGTACTGCCAAGAGGTCCAGGACTCCACAGAGATGCTTGTCCATATCTTTAAAAGCAGTGCAGCTAAGTGCAAGGCTGTGCAGGTCTCCAGCCACCCCATAGCCTGAAGAAACACCACAAAAATTGTAGTCAAGAGCCAGGCTGAATCAGGCAGTAGGCAGCTGCACCTGAATCCAGACTTGAAGAGTCCTTGAGTTTGGTTGCTGGAGCTCTGGCCTACAGCTGGAATCTGACACATAGCTTGAATGGGAACCAAACATGCTGCAAGGAGAAGGTCCTGCTATGTTGGCCTGGCAAGGTCAGGCATCCTAGTACTTATTCCAGGGCTCTGACTAAGTCAGAAGCTTCTTACTGGCTGCTAACCATGTGATTAGCAAATTACAGGAGCTGATGGTGCACATCTCTCAACTGAATGGCACTTGGAAGGCCTGAACACTTCAGTCCCATGGAAGCGCACTATGTTTCCTGATTAAAGCCCCAGGGTCCTCAGCATCAGTTTCTGGATACCCTGTTCTCCAGACACAAATCTGAGAGCCAGGACAATCTGATCCCTGATTACCAGATTGGCACAGGCTACCAATAAGGGTACAAGGCATACGTATCCACATTTGACAACTCAAGAGAGCCAGGAAAGCCAAGTAATAGCAGAAAACAGCTGTTACCTAACTTAGTGATTGTTGGATCAGCAAAAAGGGTCTGGAAGAAGGAGGATAAAGCCTCCTCATCCTTCCCATCCTGCTTGAGGAGCTGCAACATGTCCAAGAGGAACACCCGGTCATGAACTGCCATCTGGACCACCGAGACTCGCGATTTTTTCCCCACAGTACCAAATGATGGTCGCCATTCCATGTCAATCCCAATGACCTGTCCGGGCTGCAAGAGGAAAAACCAAAATATCAGCTTCCTGTGGGAGCCAAGTTAGTACATAAAATAGCATAAAAATGAAGGTACAGGACATATTTATGTTCCACTTTTCTTGAAACTGTGGAACACAAGGGAGCATACATGGTGTTGGACTCAGGCAGGGATCTAATTCAGCCCTGCTTAGCTTCAATATCTTTCCAACCATACCCTACTTGACGGGAGGGATGATAGAGAAAAAAAGAGAAATAGCACTTGTAGTCAACATTATTCTTCTGAATTCTTCCATGTTTACTGGCAGTAACTCTCTTTTTCCAGAAAGGTTTCCTGGTCAGTAAAGTAATGTTCAGACATTACTTTCCCCTTGGTATTATCCCCAGGGAGCTATCGGGAGCAGACCTCATGCTCACACACACAGTCTTTTCTGCTAATTAACCTATGAGTTTTTCCCCACCCTCAAGAGCAACAAAGCTTCTCCTATATGACAATGCCCCCCCCCCCAAGTGAACCCAGGTGAAGCCACAACACTGGGTATTCAGCGTGCTGTATTTAAAGAACAACGATCTCCATGAGGAAGAGACTGTTTTGAAATGGTTTGGTGTACATGTTGTAAATCAAGACAATTTTCTTGCCATATGAGTAAGCATCTTGGATACGTGTTAGAGAATTCACTGCATTGTTATAGCTGTTGTTTTTGCAATTTATTAATGAGCCTGGAGATCCGCCATTCCTATACTTGTTATGTCATTAATTAATTTAAGAACTGCCAGGGAACACTAACATGCTGAGAGAAATGAATTAAATAACTTATATCTGAACATAAAAAGCTTGCCTTATACTCAGGTGACCATTGGTCTGTTCCATACTGTCGCCTCTGACTAGCAGTCGCTTTTCAGGTCTCAGGCAGAAGAAGGGTTTTCCCAGATGGACCAGTGGTCTGAGCCTGTATCAGGCAGCTTCACATGTTCATATAGGCTGTTTTTGAAATGGGGTCTTTTATACAGTGCTGCTTACCTGAAGCCTCCAAAGTAAAGAGCGCAGAGGGATGTAAACAGAGGTCATTTCGGGGGGGGGGTCGCGGGGAATCGCAGTCCCCCCGGGTGAGGTACGGGGGGCGGGGCACATGACGAAGCCCCACCCTCTGCTTCCGGCCGCCCCGCTTCCGGCCCTCATTCCGCCAGGAGGAGGCAGGAGAAGAGGGAGGGTAAGTTGCTTCCCCCCTGCCTCTCCCCACCCCTGCCTGCCTGGGGCCTGGGAGGGCCTTCGTGGGGCTTCCTTGCACTCCCGCCGGCCTTGCAGGTCCACCGCCCCTCATGGGGCTCGGCAGTGGAGCTGCAAGGCCGCCACCGGCAGCCGGGACCATTGGGGGCGGGGTGTGTGGCCTTATGACACACTTCCGGTGATGTCAGGGGGTGTGGCATATGCTAATGAATTATGCTAATGAGTTCCCCTAGCTCTTTTTCTACGAAACGACCCCTGGATGTAAAGCACCCACCTGAAGCACATGTTCCTTGCATTTCTGCACCTCTTCCCACTTTGACAGGAAAAGGACATTTTCCCTGGGGATGGAGAGCTGGTAATAATGATCCTTCTTCCACTCCTCACAGTTGGCCACTTTTTGCTTCAGTACATCATCTCTACACAATCAAGACAGAAAGATAACCATTTTAGGAAAAAGGAAATGGGAGAACAGCCCAAAGCCCTACCTGTAAATCAAGCACATTAAGCTTTGTATGAAGAAGTATTCTCCTGAACTGACCACCAGAGCTATGTGAATGCCACAACTGTTTGCCGGCTTCTGCTGACTCAGAGTTGGGTACACGGGGCTCCTCTTCTCTTGAGGAGTCCTCCCTCTCACTGAGCCCTGGCTGACCCACAACAACATCCCTCCCTCCTTTCCCTGCTGTGGGCTGTTTACCGTTTCAGGTCAATCATAGTCCTCATGGTGGCAAAGGGAGAACTGAGGGGAGAGTGTTCGCCCTGCCCCCTTCGTGTGACCCTTTGGGCGGGAAAAGGGATACACTGAGACAGGGCAGGGAGGAGCACTCAAAGGCTCTAGAAAGATCTTTTAGAAAGCTTGTTAGCTCTTCTGCAGCTGGCCTGCAACTGCGCAGTCCCATGTGGGACTAAACAGAAACCACAACTATGAACTTAAATTGTTATTATTCTATTGCCAATCAAATTTCCTTGGAATATTTCAAAATATTTTTGTACAAGGCCTGGAACAGATAAGAAAAGAAGAGCCTAAATGGATCAAGTCCACTTACTTCAGCATCCTGTTTTCCCACTGTGGCTGACCGCATGTTTCTGGGAAGCCTATTAAGCAGGGCATGAATGCAACAGTCTTCCATTGCTGTTCCTCCAGCAAGTGTCACTCAGAGTTATGCCGCCTGTGTAAATGGAAGTTCCATTTAACCAACATGGCTAACAGCCGCTAATGAAGCTACCCTTCATTAGTCTGTCTAGACACCTTTTAAAGGTATTTAAACTAGTTGCCATCACTGCCATCACTGCTTCCTGTGGCACTGAGTTCCACAAATTAATTCTGCTTTGTGCAAAGAAGTATTCACTTTTGCCTGTCCTGCGTCTACTGCCCATTCATTTCAGTTCATCCCTGCTCCCATTCACAAAGAGATCTCTTCTCCAGACGTATATCTACTCGATTTGGGTGACTTAAGATATCCTCTTGGATTATTCTGCCTCAAAGTCATTATCACAGGGGATGCCATCAAGACATCTGTGGGCTGAATTGTAACATTCTTCCTCCATATGGTTATTTCATGCATTTGCAAGAGCCTCTGGCCAGTCCCCCCACACACACACACACTGGCTGAATCCAGGGATTTATTATTTGAAAAAATATTTGCTAACCTTGTGTTTAGGGGAGTGTGTGACTAATTCAGCAGGGCAGCAGCACCAGGCAGGACAAACATTCATTCGCACAGATTGTCTGTGTGCACACAAGACAGTCAATATTTGTGCAAAAATATTTAGCAAAGGTGTGTGAAGCCCCCTTGCATTTCTGGGAATATCCTGGATGTAAAGCAATGGGAATTGGAAAGGAGTATGAGATGTCTCCGTATGCAGAGGAACAGGCCAGTTAACGCCTCTTGAACAGGGCTGTGTGCAAGCTGAGCAATTCTGCAAATGTGGCATTGAGGCCGGATTTCCACTTTGCTGAGAAACATATCTTTCATTTAAATTTGAAAACAAAATGCAGGCTTCTGGCTCTTAAGCTTGTGAAGATATGCTTCATGCTATTGCCTGGTCAATTTCCAGAAGCCAAAGTGGTGGAGGGGGTGGGGGTTTTCGGGCCATAGCTTCTGGGTCCTACTTTGGGACCAGCCAAGCAAACAATTATACAAAAATAAGTAGCAAAACATGCAAATATTTAGTTGCATTATTGATTGTTTGGATTATTCCCCCCCCCTTGTCTAAGGGAACTTTACAAAAAATGAAGGGTCCAGTCAGAAGGAGGTTAAAAGGGGGAATTAAGAGTCAAATCCCTCCAGGATGCCTGGAAGCTATTTACAACTACATTAGTTGAGACCTGGATAGAATGCATAGCTCAAGTCAGGAAAGGTACCACCAAGTCTAAAAGGATTTCTGCCTGATTAACGATCCAAGTCAAGGAAGCCATAAATGCAAAAAGGCTTCCTTTAAAAAGTAGAAGGCTGTCTTGAATGAGGTGAACAGAAAAAAGCACAGGTTCTGGCAAAAAAATGCAAGCTGACAATCAGGGGAGCAAAAAGAGAATCTAAGGAGCGGATGCTAAAAACATTGAGACGAGCAATATACTTTTCTTCAAATATTTCAGGAGGGAGCAAGAAATAGACTAAGGAGGTAGTAGGGCCTTTGGGTGACAAAGGAATGAAAGGACTGCTTAAGGAAAAAGGGGAGAAAATGAATGAATCTTCTGTTTTCACCATAGAAATTTTGGGATTGTAATAGCTCAATGTGGCAGTGGTGAAAAAGGCAAACTCCATGCTGGGGATTATCAGGAAAGGGGATGAAAATAGAGTGGCCAATATTGTAATGCCCTTGTATAGAGCTACAGTACTGCCTTATTTTGAATACTCTGTACAGTTCTGATTGTCATGTCTTAAAAAGGATATTGCAGTGCTGAAAAAAGTATAGAAGAAAGCAACCAAGATTATTAAGGGATTGGAACACCTTTTCTATACAGAGAGGCTGAAGGATGTGACACTTTTCAGTTTCTAAAGACTACTAAAGGAAGACGTGATGGAAGGTTTATAAAATTATAACTGGGTTAGAGAAAGTGGATGGGGCACTCAATAAAGTTGATGGGCAATAGGGTCAGAACAGATAAAAGGAAATGCTTACTCCACCAGTAATTAAATTGTGGAATTCACTGATAGTAGACATAGTGATGGCCATGAGCATAGATTATTTTAATTCATGGAGGACAGGTCCATCAATGGCTACTAGCCATGTGTCAGACTCCAGCATCAGGCTGAAGTCCAGGGCTGTATACTTCTCCAGAGTTCCTTTAGTAGGGCTTGCCCTAGGGGAAGAACCTCAGAAAAGAGGAAGGAGGAGGGGATATACAACACCTGCTCCTGCCAGTAACCTCTCCCTAGTTACCTTAGGTGAGGTCTGACCCTTTCTCCCTCATTCTCCCAGGGCACACCTTTTAAAGGGCTGCCTGGGAGTGGGTCTGGTCTCACTCCCTCCCTCTATCCTGCAGTATGGACCTACTATGGGAGTGGCAGGTTCTAAGCCCAATAAGCAGCTGCCTGCCTGGGTTCCCATTTCCACTGCCCCTCCCCCATGGGAAGTCTTATAAGGCTTCTCCTCTGGCTCCTGCTGGCCTAAGGAGGTCACTGCAGGCTGTTTCCTGCCCTTCCCAAGAACCTTCCTGGCTCCCACAACACATTAGGAAAGGGCCATCATTTGTGGTGGGTTCTGCTGTTCTTCTGCCACCCTTGTTTCCTCATGCCTCTGCTGTGCGTTTGGTGCTGGCCAGCCTTTTCTAGGTGCTGTGGTGAGCTGGGAAGCTGCTCCTGCAGCATTACATTGGGCTTCTGCAGCCCTCCTTGGATGGTTTCCTTGGCATGGTCTCGAGGCCTCTGTCTCCTTGGTGGTAAGTGTGGGGATGGGACCCTGGACACCACGGTGGGTAAAAAGAACCTCCAAACACAGAGGCAGCAAACTTCTGAATACCTGTGCTAGGAGGCAGTATCAGGGCCTTGGCCTCCATGCCCTGTTTGTTGGCCCTCCAAATGGGCTACTATGCGAAACAGGATGCTGGACTGGATGGACCACTGGTCTGAACCAGCCTTGCTCTTCTTTGTTCTTCTGTCTTCTCCTGTTAAAATATCTAAGGTAGCAGATGCTGGGGGGAAATCCTATAGAGCCAGTGCCATTCAGAATAGATACAATTGTGCTAGATGGAGCTACAGTTTGACTGAGTACAAGGCAATATCATATAGTCCACCTGTGATTTAGACTGTACGCTTCTTGGAGGTAAAAAGGTAAAGGTAAAGGTTCCCTTGCTCGAAAGCCAGTCGAATCCGACTCTAGGGTTGCGGTGCTCATTAGGTAGGAACACAATAATTTCCTACTCTCCAACGCACAAGGTTTTGAGCTAATAGCATAATTATGTTTATGAGTACAAACTGAAAAAATAACCAGCCATTCTTAGGGCAGAACGACCATTGGTACTCACCGTGAGGGGTCCTTCTCCTCTGAGGTTCAGGAGGACATCTCTATGGGTTATTCCCACCGTGCCTTTAGGGAGGCAGGAAATAGTTTTTTTCCCCCTTCCTGTTGGCGCCTTTGGAATATCCCCTCCTCAGTTCTGGGACTCCGAAAGCAGTGCTAGCAGCCGAAGAGGAAAAAAGGACCTTGCCCTATGAAAACATAACTTTAAACAGTAGATTAACCTGCTTAACCTTAGCAACTGTAAGAAAGAAAAACCCTGCAACACGCAGGACAAGGATACGAAGAAATGGAGAGAAGAATTCAGCAAAGGAAATTTAGCAAAGAAGATGACAAAGGGAGGGCCGAGATGTCCTCCTGAACCTCAGAGGAGAAGGACCCCTCACGGTGAGTACCAATGGTCGTTCTCCCTCTGAGGTGGAGGACATCTCTATGGGACCTCCCCGAGCAGTGTCCATTTTACTTGGGTGGGTTGTCATCTTCTTCTAGTGCAACGACTTGCTGAAGAATTCTTCTCCCAAATGCAGCATCCGCCGAAGCAGAGGTGTTAATCTTGTAGTGTCTAATGAAGGATGATATGGAGGACCACGTGGCCGCCTTACAGACCTCCTCCACAGAAGCCCTGTTAGCAAAGGCGGCATTCGTTGTTGCACTTCTTAAGGAATGAGCTGTTATTCCATTGGGAACCTCCAGTCCAGAAGCCCGATAGGCCTCCACAATGCAGGACTTCAAGGTCGAACTGATGGCCGATCTCGACATCCTCTCTCCCTTATGTGGTAAGGAAATATTGACGAACAAGGAATCCGTTTTCCTCCAAGATTCCGTTCTTGCCAGGAAAATTTTGAGTGCTCTCTTGACGTCCAAAGTATGCCAAACCCTTTCCTTCGGGTGTTTGGGATGGGGACAAAAGGTAGGCAGACATATGTCTTGGGAAAGATGAGGCAGATGTCACTTTAGGTCGGAATGTCGGATCAGTCCTAAGCACCACTTTGTCTTTATGAAATATGCAGAACGATGATCTAGCGGACAGGGCTCCTAGTTCAGACACCCTGCGGGCCGACGTGATGGCTACGAGAAATAACGTCTTCATTCGCAGCCATCGCAAGTCCACTTCTCGCAGAGGTTCGAACGGCTTCTTGGTAAGGGCGTTCAACACAACGTTTAACTTCCAAGTAGGAAATCGATGAACCTGTGGAGGAGCTCTGACCGCTGCCCCTTGAAGAAAACGCTGGACGTGCGGATGTCTATTTAATCCGAAACCTTCCAGGGATGGCAAAACTGTGGATATTGCGGCCAACTGTCTGCGTAGAGTTGACGCCTTTAAGCCTGTATCCAGTCCCTCTTGGAGAAACGCAAGAAGAGAGGCTACTGACGGCTTCAAGGGGTCTATCTGTTTTCGTCTACACCAACGGACGAATGCCTTCCACGTGGTGTTATATATTCGGACAGTGGATTGACGCCTGGAAGACATTATGGTATCCTGAACCAAGGTAGAATATCCTTGTTTGGCTAACGCGTCCCGCTCAATCGCCACGCGGTCAAACATAGCCATGCTGGGTCTGGATGCCACATCGGCCCCTGGGACAACATGTCCGGAGAGACCGTGAACTTCAGAGGCGGAAGAATCGTTAGTTCCTGAAGGGCTGAGAACCACGGCCGACGACTCCAGCTCGGAGCAACCAGGATGACTTCTGCTCGAAGTTTTCGGATTCTGCGGAGAGTTCTGGAGATTAGAACAAACGGCGGAAAAGCGTACATCAGTCCCGGTGGCCACGCCGTCGTCAGGGCATCCGTCGCCTCTGCTCCCTGGTGGAAATACCTGGAGAAGTACCTGGGCGTCTTGTGGTTTTCTGGAGACGCAAACAAATCCACCAGCGGCCGACCGAAGCAGAGTGCTATTTCTTCGAAGAGTCTTGGGTGAAGAGCCCATTCTCCCTCCAGGATGGTCATCCTGCTGAGCCAATCGGCTTGTACGTTGTCGACACCCCGAATGTGCTCTGCCCTTAGAGAAATGATGTTCTTCTCCGCCCAGGATAGAATCTTCATTGCCTCCCTGTGTAATTGTGAGGAGCGGGACCCGCCCTGTTTGTTGATGTGAGCTTTGGCTGATATATTGTCCGTCCTCACTAACACATGCTGATTTTGTAGTCGGGGAGAGAAATGAATTAGGGAGCGATGAATGGCTCTGAGTTCCAGTAAGTTGATGGGGAGCTTCTTCTCTGTGGCTGACCAGATCCCTTGGACTGGAACTCCCTCCAGCGTTGCCCCCCAGCCCAGGAGGCTGGCATCCGTGAATAGCTCTCTGGAATGGCTGATATAAAAGATCTTTCCCATTTGAAGGTTGTTCAGACTTGTCCACAATCGAAGACTCTCCTTGACCCTTGGGGTCACCTGCAACGGAACATTCTTCTTTTCCATGATGTGGAATTGGTAAGGACGTAGAAACAATTGTAAGGGTCTGGAGTGCATGCGGGCCCACTGCAACATGTCTAGACTGGCAATCATGAGTCCAAGGAGGCTGGCCAGCTCCAGGAGAGGAGAAGTCCTGCTGCTGTAAATTCTGGAAGCTAAGTCTTTGATCTTTTTGGCCTTGGAGATTGGGAGAAACAGTGCCATGCGGACTGTATCTATCCTGGCACCCAGATGTTCTATCTGTTGTGTTGGAGTCAGAAAACTTTTCTCGAAGTTGATCTTGAATCCATGATTCCGCAAGCATTGCAGCGTCCTGTCTGTGTTCTGGACAGCTTGCGCCTGGCTGTTGGCTCGGATCAGCAGGTCGTCCAAATATGGATGGACATGAATCCCCTGTCCTCTGAGATGAACGATAGGATTGATTATTAACTTTGAAAAGAGTCTTGGCGCCGTAGAGAGGCCGAACGGAAGTGCTCGATATTGGAAATGTCGATTGAGTATGCAGAACCGAAGATATTTCTTGTGGGATGGATGAATAGGTACATGCAGGTAAGCCTCCGTGAGATCGATGGAGGTTAGATATTCGCCCGGAGACAGGGAGTCCACTACCGCCTTCAGCGTCTCCATGCGAAAATGACGTAATCTTATAAATCTGTTCAGGAACTTCAAGTCCAATATTGCCCTCCAATCCCCGTTGCGCTTGGGGACTAAGAACAATATGGAGTAAACTCCCTGGCCTCTCTCCGCAGGAGGAACTGGCTCGATTGTCTCGATGTCTAGCAGGTGTTGTACAGCCCTGTTGATTAGCGCCCTCTTGTTCTCTAATCGGCTTGTAGGCGACTTGAGGAATCTCTCTGGTGGGTATCGTAGAAATTCGATTATGTATCCGTTGGACACGACGTCCACTGCCCAGGCATCCGCCTGTGCCTCTGACCAAGTCTTTGAAAAGTGGAGTAGTCGTGCCCCGACCGGTATGGGTAGAGAGTCATGCCTGTTTAGGTTTAGAATCTCTGTCTCCAAGTCTTTGAAAAGTGGAGTAGTCGTGCCTGTTTAGGTTTAGAATCTCTGTCTTCTCTGCCACCCCTGTTGAAGGTGGATCTGCGGAAACGGGACGAGAAGGACCCACGCTTGGAAGGTTGCTTGAAGGTTTCCCATGATGACCTTTTGAAGTCGTGTCGAAATCTGGGCAACGTATGTTGTGTACGAAAGGACTGATTTCGTGTATCAGGCCGTCTGAGAGACCTGGGCATGGCATTCTTTTTGTTCCTGGTTTCTACCAGAATGGAATCCAGTGCCTCCCCAAACAAGCGATCACCTTGAAATGGGTATGCCGTTACTATTGATTTGGATGACGAGTCAGCTTGCCAAGCCTTCAGCCAGAGTAGCCTTCGGCCCACCGCCGTGGAGCCAGTGGCCTTGGATGCGAAGGAAATGATGTCAAGCGTGGCATCTGCAGTGAACGAGTTGGCCTTGAGAACGCGCAACACTCCTTCCAGCACGCTGCGATTGTTCTCAGGAATAATCTGAGTGAGCTTCCTCAGCCATACTATTGCTGCTCGAGAAGCAATGGAGGCAGTCGTCGCTGCCTTCACCATCATGGCTACCGACTCGTGAATCCTCCGCAGCGTTGCTTCCAGTTTCCTGTCCGTTGCATCTCTGAGGTTGCCGGACCCATCTTCGGACACCAAGCCCGATGACTGGATTGCTGCCACCGGACCATCCACTGGGGGCACCTGTAAGAGCTCATTGGCATAGTTAGGTAAAGCATACAATTTTTTGGCTAATGCAGGAAACTGCCTATTCACCATGGGTTTATCCCATCCCGAGCGAAGTTGTCGCTCAAAGTACTCAGGGAATGGGAAGACTTTCTCAGTAATCTCTTCTGGAGGAAAAAACTCTGAGTTGCCTCCAGATCTAGACTTAAATTTGGCTTTAGCCGCCTTCTGGTATTCAGATGGAGGCACGTCACGTAAGTCAAGAGCTTTAATGGCTTTAGTTAGAAAAAACTGATAATCCTCTACCTTGAAAAAACAGTTGGACAGTTCAGGAAGCTTCAATTCTTCCTCCTCCTCCTCAGACAAAAATTCACCCTCCTCTCTGCCATCAATGGAAGATGCAGGTGATTCCAACTCCTCCCTCCACCTGTACTCCTCTGGGTTTCTGGGGAGTGGGGGGGGGCTTTTTTGCTGCCTTAGTGGGCCAGGTGATATGAGGAGGTCCCGAGGGGATTGGCTCCTGAGGAGAAGGGACTGCGGGTCGCATATGAGCCAACTCCTGTTGGAGAGACTGTCTGATCATAGCCATAAGCTCTGCCGATTGAATTGCAAACGCCAGATCTGGGGACTTACCCCTCTGCTGGTCAGCTGCTGCGTCATCGTGTTGCAGCAATACGGGCTGGGAGAGGCCAAGCCGCCCACCAACTGCCCCCGCGGCTCCCATAATGCTGCCCTGGAAGGTGCCGAGGCCCGAATCCGTACCTTCAAAATGGCCGCCGTCAGATCTCGAGCGCGCCAACGGAATGGCGGGCTCTTCGTTTAAGCTTAATAGGGGCCACTTCTGGCCGCGCTGCTCTGCAGCCGAATCGATTATTTTGGTTGCGGGCGCTCGATCGTGCCGCGAAGGCCGATCCGTCCCGGAGAAGCTGTGCGTTGCCGCGGTTGCGGCGGTCGCTTGTCCCTCGTCGCCTGAGGAGAACTCCTCAGGAATCTCCTTCGATGCCATAACGGCCTTCCTCTCTTCAGGTCTTGAGACCTCTTTGATCTTTGCTCCAAGGGAGAGAAAAGAACAGGCAGAGGAGAGATCGAAGTACAGAAGGAGAAAAAAGGGAACTCAGACTAGGTATAAAAGAAAGAAGGGCAAGGCAGACTGCTAGAGAAGGGAAAGTGAAAGAGACTACAGCTAGAGCCTAGAAGCTTGCTGCTGCTCCCTACAGAGGCAGGAACAGAACTGGGGAGGGGATATTCCGAAGGCGCCAACAGGAAGGGGAAAAAAAACTATTTCCTGCCTCCCTAAAGGCACGGTGGGAATAACCCATAGAGATGTCCTCCACCTCAGAGGGAGAACTGTGAGGCAAAGGGCACACAAGTCTTGAGTTTGAGGTGTACCCTGGAATAAGAGCAACCCCCCCCCCAGCCTTGACACACTAGGCAAAGACCCCAAGACAGGTGTGCTTGCTCTCTCCTCTTTCTACCTCTCTTGACTTTTGAGGGCTTTCAGCTCATCTGCCACTTGGCAAGGCAGGGTGTCCTCAGGGAGGCTGTAGTGAAGAGCCCAAGTGGCCGCAGCGTTTAGGTGATGGTAAGAGGCCAGCAGCTGGACTAGCTGTTCCTGCAGCCACCGATTGTTCTCAATGGTGCTCTAAAAAGCAAAGAGAAATCAAAGTCAGTCAGTGCAAGGTCCATTTCCATGAGCAGCGAAGTTGCTTGGGATAGTTTTCATCACTCAGAAGTATCTCTCATTAAAGAAAAAGCTGGCTACCCCCACTCCAAAAGGATACATCATGTATTTTCTCAGCCTACTGCCATAACAATAAACAGGCACCCCACTTACAACTGTGGGATACTCCTGTTACCACTGGCTCTCACAATCCTACTCAAACCTTTGCCCAGTTGGTAAGAGCCAGTCTACAACGGGGCTGTGCTTTTGGGGTTCTGATAATGCTGCTGGAAATCTGTATTTCAGCATAGGCTGCATCAGATAATCACAGTATTTCCCTACTTCCTCCCTCGAGATGGTGTGGCTCAACAGATCAATGCTCAACATTCCAAGGATGCAATCAAAAATCATAGTTTACTTTCCCAAACTTACTGCAACACCTCCTGTGTCTTCACATACACTTTGGTCATTTTTGTGCTTGAGAAACTAGTTCATAGAGACTCAGTACTTGGTCTGTGTATCCAGCCAAACCATTAAATAGACTGGTCCTACAGCCACACTCTCAGGATTCAAACGATCACCACATCTTGATGCTTCTTTCTTTTCAATCGGTGTTAAGCAGCCCTACCTTCAGCAATGTTTCCTGACAAACATGTTTCAACACAATTGATAATCAAGGCAAATCATCTGTTAAAATTCTTTAAGCTGGCAGGTCAGTAGCTTTTAAGGGCTACGGGGGCCATCATGCTGACTGTTTGCTTAACCTTAGTTGCAAAGTCCTCCTTTTCATTTTAGGAATGAATGATGGTTTGCATTATGTCTGTACCAGTGTTATGGTGGTAACTATGGCTTACAAATACACTTTTAACTGTGGCTGAATGGTTTACAGCTAACCATTGTTAGCAAACCGACTAGCACAGCCCTAATATTGTGCCATGGTTACCTCTAAAAAGGAAAGAAAAAATTCACACATGATCAAAGAAGGGGGAGGAGTGTGCAAGCCCCCAAGAGAGGTCTTGATCTCTTCAATGTAGCTAAGAGATCTTGCAACTAGAGTTGGGCACAAAGTGGGAAAATTGAGGTTCATCCCGCTTCGTGGGGGTCTCACGAACCTTCCAATTTACCAAACTGGTTCATTTTGTGAGGTTCATGAAGTGGTGGAGTGGCCTCCCATGAGCTAGAGATGACAATCTCGCAGTTAGTCTCCAGCTGACTCTACTCTACCCGCCCTCCAAGTTTGGTGAGGATTGGATTTACGGGGACCGAGTTACAGCCCCCAAAGCAGGTGCCCCCTGGAAAGTGCTCTCTGGGGAAATCACAGCCACAGGTTTAGGAGTGTGTCAAACAGCCCACCGGTGAGCTAAAGACATCAAACTTGCAGAGGACCTCCCTGGGAAGCCCCTCTACCTGCCCTCAAAGTTGTGTTCAGATTGGCTTTGAGGGGCTGAGTAGTGCCCCCCAAAGCAGGTGCCCCCAGGAAAGTGCTCTCTGGGGAAGTCACAGCTAGAGACAACAAACTCGCAGTGGACTTTCTCAGGATGCCCCTCTTCAAGAAGGGGGGAGGTCTAGCATGGGAGGGGGGTGATAAATTGGAAAACCAAGTTGATGGCCAGGTATAGCAAGAGCAGCTGGTGATGCCAAGCCTGGCGGGTGGGTGCCCAGAGGCACAGAAGTCAAGGATCTTACGATCCAAAGTGCAAAAAGGGGGGAGGTCTAGCACGGGGGGAGGGGGGCGATTTGGAAAACCAAGTCAATGGGCAGGTACAGCAAGGGCAGCTGGTGATGCCGTCCATCCCCCCAGTTGTTTTGACTATTGATTACTGCCAGTGTGTCTGGCTCACAAACCACTGCCACGAACCTAATGAACCTCCGTGAAAAACATGGCAGTTTGTGGGCAAGGCTATCTTACAAACTGAGGCCTCACGAACCATGAACCGGCCATGTTCATGACAAAATTAGGTTCATGATGAGGTTCATGCCCATCCCTACTGGCAATATTTATATTTATTTAAAAGATTTATAGACTGCTTTTTGCAGCAAAGGCTTTGATATAGCAACACAGTATCATACAAAATTGCACTGATTTTTTAAAAAATACAATACCAAAACCCAACTTAAAACTCACAGATTTAAAATAGCCAATGTATCAATTCATACCATAATTTAAACAATACTTCTTTAGTTCAATAGGAGCCTAGAAATAAAGGGTTTATGACTCTTTTTTCTTTCCCCAAAGGCAAGATGTTGTTTTTAAATTGTAACCCATTTCCAAAGAATGGGTATAACTGCAATCCCTCCAATCCCCTCCCCCATAATTTCTGGCCCTTCTTGATTTCACTGGCTGAAAAAGATATCATCCAGAGGCCCTGCTGGTTTAATCTTAACTGTTACAGGGCCCTTACAGATAATACTTTTAAAATTGAAGTTATTTACTTCTCACTGAAATTCAAGGTGGATTACACTATGTAAGTCAATATGATTAAGAGGATGGGACATCCAGTACACAATGCAATAGAGTTTGCATTGCAGCAATCTGAAAACCAGAAGAAAACTGAAACGGTGCTGAAACAATTCTTAAACAGAGTACAAGCTGATACATAGTAGGAGCATGCTTACAGCCACAGACAGTACACAGTAGTATAGCCCACAGGCTCTATCACTATACTGAAGCATCTTTCTGAATCAGTTAATTACAGTACAGCCCTATTACCTGTGCAAAAAAGCCCCCCTGAATAATTCATAGTTATTAATATAAATAATATATTGATTACTATGAAAAATAACTAGTGTTGCCAACTCTGGGTTTCATTTATTTATTTAGATTTATATCCCGCCCTTCCCGCAAGCGGACTCTAGGTGGGTTACAACAATAAATTACAATCAATAAGCAATTTAAAGTAGATATTAAGCAATAAAAACAGTTGAAACTGTTAAAAGATGGGCATAGTTGAGGATTAATTCTTTAATTAAATATTCAGCAATTCTAAAACTGGGAACAATTGGACTGCAGCTGAGCTATAAAGATCTTATCAGTAGCACAAACTGCAGCAACTGCAGCAGGTAGGCCAATTAATGGATGCCAACCACCTCACCCAAAGGCCTGGCAGAACAGCTCCGTTTTGCAGGCCCTGTGGAACTGTACTAGGCCTCGCAGGGCCCTGGTCTCAATCAGGAGCATGTTCTACCAGGCCGTGGCCAGGGCAGGAAAAAGCCCTGTCCCTGGTTAAAGCTAAATGAATGTCCCTCAGGCCGGGAATAACCAGCAAATGGTGGTTCGTTCAGTGCAAGGCTCTCTAGAGCATATATGGGTAGAGGTGGTCCCTTAGATATGTCAGTCCCAGGCCGCATAGGGCTTTAAAGGTCACAACCAGTGATCATTGCATGGGGCACAGTTGCCAAGTCCTGGGGGGAGAGATAGAGAACCAACTTCCTGATCTACAGAAGATGGTAAAAGGCAGACCTGGCAACTGTGGCGACCTGAGCCTCCATAGAGAGTAAGAAATCCAGAGTCACCCCTAGGCTCCTCACCTTCTGGGCCAGGACCAACAGGGCCCTGTCCAGGGTAGGGAGCCGGATTCCCAAAACCACTCCTCCCTCCCGCTCAGGTACAGAACCTCCATCTGTTGAGAAATTCCTGGAGATTTGGGGGGTTAAGCCTGGGGAGGGTGGAGTTTGGGGGAGTGGAGGGACCTCAGCAGGATATAATGTCATAGAGTCCACGCTCTAAAGCAGACATTTTCTCCAGGGGAGCTGATCTCTGTCATCTGAACATCAGTTGTGATTCCAAGAGATCTCCAGGCCCTACTTGGACGTTGGCAACCCTAATTTGAATCAGTGTTGGCAGAGAAACATGCACATGGCTGCATATTCTTAACTTTATGACTGTTGTGAGAGTGGGATAGCGAGTACTAGGGAGGGAACAGGCCCTTGAAGGTTGGGGTAGAAGTTCCAAACTTTTTTTAATGTGGGGTTTTCTAGAAATTTGCAAGATTGAAATTGGAGTGCTAAACATCTGCCTATCTCACCGTTCCAGCCTGTGTTTTGTTTTATGACTTTAGTACCAGAGGGAGAATGCTGGTTGAACAACATTCCTCTCTTGAGCTACAGGCAACGTGTGGGAACATTGCCCTGTTCCCTCCAGATCTGCTGATGCAGCAGAGCTGAAAAACCAGCAACAAATCTTGTGCAATTTTCTGAAGTCTTGGAGGAGAAAGCAAACTAAGCCCCACAGAGTAAGTAGGAAAGGATCTGACAGGCCATCAAGGCAAACAACCAATTCCTTGGAATTTTCTTTCTTGCCTGGCCTGTGGACTTTACAGAGGCATCTTGCAGGCCATTGCTAGAAACAGGACACTAAGCTAGATGAACCTCTATCTAATTCTGCAGGTTTCTGGTGTGGTCAGGGCCACTAAAACAATTAAAAGGCAAGCAGTGGAGGATAGGTATCTTAAGAGCTATTAGCCATGGTAACCAACTAGACATTCCATGTACAGAGGTAGCATATCTAGGACAATCACATCCTGAATATGGAATCACCTTTAAGGCCATCTTTGTGAGTTTCCAAGAGGAATGCTAAGCTAGGGTAAACTGGGGGAGATGGAGCCATGGATGCCGCTCTAATGCTCCTTGAAGGAAAGGCAGGAAAAATTGTCCTAGAGATGGACCAGATATAAGGTGTTTCTGTTGCTCCTGGAGGTGATGTAACCTGGTTGAGTGTCCTAGCAGTACAGATCCCTAACCTGAACTGCAGAAACGGTTTCCTGTTTTTTGCAGGCTCATCTCACTGTGGCTTTGTGGCCTGTTTTGCTGGTGGTGTGGCCCAGTGCATACAGTGTTTTGCAATCAATCTGGCTTTAACACCACCCCTTTCCTTTTCCCCTTCTGTTTTTTTTTTTCTTCCCCCGGGCCATCAAATGATTGATTTCCCACTCTGACAGGAGAGTCTCACCTTTGCATTGCTAAAAGCATCTCAAGAATGAGGCCTGACAGCCACAGCAGCAGCATTCCACCTGGGCAGGCTGCGTTTGCACATGTAGGAGCGGGAAACAGAGCAGTGAAGAAGCCTTGCTTTGCAAGCAAGGTACAGAGGCAGAGCTGAACTACCAAGCTGGGAAGTTCCAAAACATTAGAACTGCTGCGCTTGATCAGATCGAAGCTGGTAGAACCTTGAGCCAGTCATTCTCTCTTAAGCCTACTCTGCTGCACAGGGTTGTTGTTGTTGTGAGGATAAACAGAGGAGGGGAAAACAATGTGGCAACCGCTTTTGCCCCCATTGAGGAGAAAAGGGTGGTGTGTGTGTGTATTATACACACATACATACAAATAAACAAACATGCACTCAAGTCCACTGTGGGAATAAATTGGCCTTTAAGCTCCTTTGTAAATTCATAGCCTCAGTGAAATTTGAACTGGGGACTTCCTGGCTTATTGTGTACACTCATTGCTTCTACTCTTACACACCTGCTGTGATGCTTGTATGTTACTTCCCCTGCTCCCTCTCCTAAACACATGAAGCTACCTTCTACTGAGTCAGTTCTCTGTTCCATTTGGTCTAGTATTTATTTGCAGCAGCTCTTCCAAGTATCAGGCAGAAAAGTTCTTTCCCAGATTTTGTCACCTAAAATCATTTTAACTGGAGACGTTAGGGTCTGAACCTAGGACCTTCTTGGCAGTGGATGCCCTATCGCTGAACCAAAACCTCTTGTCCTTACTTCTAGCAAGATTCCCTGATCAAACTTTGAAGATGAGGGGGAAATTATACAGGATCAACACAGACTTGTTGAAACCTGTGTTTAAAAAACAAACAAAAAACCAAACCCCCCCAGACATATCATTCCATCTATAATCCTGAGGCATGCAAATCAAAGATTCTTAATGCTAATGAAAACCTGTGATTAAAACCTTCCTTGCATGAGGCTTGCTGAGCACAAAACTGCCACAAGCCCTTTTTGACCAAGTGCTCATTTTCAAATGTTCTCCTCTTCCCTTAAATAAAAAATTAGCATGCCACCAAGCAAGGTTTAGCACAGTCCCCCTTTCTCTTGCTACCTTACAACATACTTAGGTTGGGAAACATTGAGAAATATCTGTCATATATTTAATCATCCTTCCCTTCTTCCCCTCCCCATTTTATTCTCACAACAACCCAGTGAGGTGGCTTGAACTGAGGGACTGGCCAGGCATCACCCTGTGAGATTCACAGCCAGATGGAGATTTGAAGCCAGGTCTCCCAAGTCCTGGCCTAACACTCTCCCTATCACAGTACACTGGTTCCCCCTTTTGCCCTCCCCCTGCTCTCTGCAGCGCTCCAGGGTTCTACAGCTTTGCTCTATAACACAACGTGTAAAGGAGTACTTAGATTACAGCTCCTTGATCTTATTTCAAGGAGTCCACCTGGCTGTGAGCCAAAGCTATAATAAGTATGTTTGCAGGATCTTTAGCAAATGGAAGGATTGGCAGAAACATTTTTTTCTCTCTCTTTAATCTCTCTTGGTGCATTAAATTTCCTGGTGCCCTCTGTTGTGGAGACAGAATGCTTGAGAGGGCAGACTGAATGAACTCAGAAATTCACACCCTGCCAAACTGGCCTGAATTCCCTAAATCCATAATTACAACATTCCACAGAGAGACGCATTCTTTTGAGTGAGGATGAGTTTCTTATTTCTTTCCACTTTACCCAATTTCCTTTCTCAAGAGGAATCCTTTTAGTCTCTGTGAGCACTTTTGAATAATCACCTTCCTAGTGCAAAGCTGTCCTTTCTCAGCAACTGAACAGGCAAATGATCTCACCGACAAATGCAACTGAGTCAGAAGCAAGGAAACAAGAATGTTCAGAATTTTATGCACAGAAGAACAGAAATTTACAGCTAGGAGTAGTGATGTTATTTATTTAGATAATTACACGCTTGCTTTTCTCCCTACTGGGGCACAAAAGCAGCTGATAATATCATTCTCCCCTCCTTCATTTTATCCTCCCAACAACCACTTTGTAAGATACATTAGTCTGAGAGACTGCAGCTGGCACAGCATCACCCAGCAAGGTTCAATGGCAAAGTGGAGATCTGAACCTGGGTCTCCCTGATCTATTCCAACACTGAGCCCTTACATCAGGCTGGTTCTAGTCTGCATATGCTCCTCTTCTCCAAGAATGTAGAACACATACAGACTGTAGTATTTGATCCAGAATTCACCAGTCTGAATTTTTATTTTTGAAAAGCAAGTTTCTACTAATATTACTACTAGTACTACTACTAGTACCACTATCACTCCTTATATATAAAAGAGTTTTGGTGTGACTCCTGGACATGCTCCCACAGCCTTTGGGCCACTCAGCTGCCACTCTCATGGTCTCCCAGTCCCTCGCTGCGTTGGCTCGGCCCCGCCCACGGAGCCGGTGGCCAGCATTTCGCCCTCACTCTTGAGGGAGCTGGCGAAGGGAATGGAGTCTCGCCCTCAGTGTGCTGGGAGCCGAGGGACGAGACAGCCGTTCCAGCAGGTGGAGGGTGAGGAGGGCGACTGCAACACAACGGAGGAACAGAGTGAGACACCAGAGAACCAGGAAGGGCCCCAGTCCCCGTGGCTCACCATTTGTGGGGCCAGGTGAAGACGCAAAGGTGGCCAGGTGCTCGCGGGTCTGGGGCTGGCCACTGGCAGGAAAGCCAGGACCTCCCTCCCATCCCCGCCCCACTGGCAGGGATGCACTGCGGTCAGCGACGGGGAGTACAGCTAGGCCAGGCAGTGGCCAACAATGACACTTGCCTGCTGTGTCGCCCCAGCGGTCGCTGTGCCTCACTGTGGCCCACCGCAGCTGCTCCATTCACCCCATCACCTCCTTTCGGTAAGGTGGGGCGGACCGGGAGATGCTCCAGCACACACGCGACCCCCTTCTTCATCTTCTCCCGACAGGCAAGTGGAGAGCTGACGAAAAGCAGGCTGCAGCCAGGCTCCCTTTCCTCGCAGCTGAAGGAGCTGCTGCAGGACAGGTGGGGATGGGGGGGGGAGTGAGCGAGAGCACCAAGGATAAGGAGGATGGCGAGGGATGAAGCCTGTGCGCTGGCAGCATTCCAGCTGGCCCCAATTTTGTCCCCAGAGAGAGGGGTGGTGTGGGGAGGATACCCATCATGCCCTTCTAGCGCCCGTTGTCTTGCTTCTACAACGGGCTTTGCGCCTAGTTAATAATAAATTACACTGTTTCCTACCCTTTATCCATAGAGCTGTGGAAGGTATACATAGGGTTACCTCCCCAAGACCATTTAGTGAGCTGCACGGCTGCATGGGGATCTTCACCTGGGTCTTCCTATCAAACTCCAGCACTCTAGTCACTCCACTGGCTCATATATACTGCTTTACAGAGATCAGAAGAATTTGGACATGTTACCTTATCACAGTTCTTCCAACAGTTCCATGAGCTAAACCAGTATCATTATTGCCACACTTCAGTGGGGTGGGGTGGGGACAGAGGGATGGCAGGTTGCCTAGGTCGACTACTGAGTTTCAGCAGAGGCAAGACTCAAATCAGAGTTTCCTGATGATTTCTAGGCCAGTCAATATATGTGAGGGCAATGCCAGCTGAAATTGGAGGGGTGAATATGATTCCCAGTGGTCAGAACTGGGAAGCGAAATTTCCGTGTTTTACATACCTCCTAGCCCCCTACCTCCACATGACTAGCAAAACCCCAGCATACATATTACAAAATAGTGAAGGCCAGGTGGCCAGCAGGGGCAGGGCCTTCTCTGTAGTGACACTTCCTTTGTTCAACTGCCACTGGCCCAGAGCCCAGCTGCAAAATTTCCTGTTTGTTTCAAATCTTGCTTGCTGTTCAATTGAAGCTGCTTCTGAATGCTTCTGAATGTATACCACTGCTATTTTTATTGTCTGAATTTTACTGCTGTAGAGTTGGGGGGAGTGTTAGTTGATTTTGACAGTTTAATGGCTTTATTTTAATCCCCTGTTCAATGTATTGAGAGTCTTATGGCTATGAGCTAGTAGACCAAAGAACAAATGAACAAACAAAACATTGTAGGTAAATTGTACAAAACAGAAGGCATTATGCATATATGCTCACTTTGCATGCTGCATACTGGTTGGAGAGTTCACCTTGGCTTGGTGCAGCATTTTAATGTCTTTGTTAGCACTGAATGCAACTTGCACATTGGAAGCAAAGCCAGAGATAATTCGCACCCTTACCTGAACATGTTCGGTCCAGTTTTCCTGAGTCATGGTTTTCTGGAAGAGAAATCACAAACAACACTGATGTCTTCTCAGCATCAAAAACACAACAGTCTTTGTACAACCCGCATGCCCCCCCCAACATACCTCAACAAACCTCTTGTAGAACAGGTATTTCAGAGTTCCCAGGTGACGCTGGTTGGTGGCGTTGGGGCAAAGGGCTGGGATGTGCAGGGAGAAGGGATAAAAAAATGGATCAGGAGGAGACAGGCAAGCAAACAAATAGGGAAGGAGGAGATCAGGGATTTTCTTCTCATTGTTTATTAAATCTTATTATCTCTCATTGGTACCCCAGCCTGCCTTCCTGGGTTGCATGGGTTGTTAGCCAAGTTTATCCTCACAATAACCCTATGAGGTAGGCCATGCTGAGGAGGAGTGAAATTACGAAGCTGCTTTACAGCTAATCATCAGTTTAGCTCCACATTAGTGAATTTGACTGGCAGCATCCCAGGCACAGGTTATTTCCCAGCACCAGCTGTTAGCTCTCTCTATAAACTGATGCCCTGACTTGGATGGCCCAGCCTAGCCTGATCTCATCAGATCTCAGAAGCTAAGCAGGCTCGGCCTTGGTTAGTATTTGGATGGAGGACCTCCAAGAAAGTCCAGGGTTGCTTCCCAGAGACAGGCAATGGCAAACCATCTCTGAACATCTCTTGCCTTGAAAACCCTACAGCTGTGACATGACAGCACTTTGCACCACCACCAAACTGCTGCTTTGGCCCCTCCCATTCAATGTCCACTTTTTAAGACTTGGGGATTTTTCCAAGCTCTGTTTCCCGAGATCCTTCAACTATGTCAGGGATTTGAGCAGCTCCTCCCTGTTCAAACCCATGTCTATCCAGTCCCAGTCAAAACATTTTGCCCACTGTACCACAAGACACATTTATAGGGTTTCAAAATTAGTCATTATAAAAATACACACAATATGCCAGACATTCAGAAAGTCAAGGCATTTGAACTTTTTTTTTAAACCCCACATGATTGTTACAAAGTTTATAACTATCAATGAAATCATTAACAAGAAAAGATCAAAAACAAGGAACAAAGCTCATCCTGAATTTTACCACTTCAGGCAGCAAGTGAAGGAGGGGAAGCAAATTTTGATGCTTTGCCATGGCGGTTAATCTTTATGCACGCAGAAAAATAAATCAGGGGGAAGAGTAACCTGCCCCTTTCCCTATAGCCTGCTAATTTTAAACATGCTGATTTTTTAAAAATGGGAGACAGACCATACCAGCTAGTAGCCTCCCTTCTCACTGCCACCTGAAATAGCAGAATCCAAGAAAAGCTTTTACCATGAGGTTCTAATGAAAGTATAAAATGGCCTTGACAAATTACTTTGGAAGAAGTACACACAAAATTAACCTAATTCTTTAACTCCAGAGGCTTCCAATGGCTAATTAATACCTGCTTTCAAAGCTCTCTCAGTATTTCCAAAGGAAATAATCAGCTTGAATGGAAACCCCAACCAAAGCTCTCTAAAATCAATTCTGATAGGTCTTAACCTTCCACGTTTATTCAACATTAAATTACTTGATTAAGAATGTTAGAAATCCTACCCTTCCCCCAAAGAGCTCATGGTTCCTTCCCCTTCTCCATTTTATCCTCATGACAACCCTGCTAAGTACGGTCACTCCAGTGGGCTTCATGCCTAAATGGGGATTAAATTCCAGCCTAACCACTACATCACACTGAGTCCCAATCTGGCAACCCCTTGTCACCATGATGACCCTAAGTGTGCTCAAGGAGGCAGCAGCAGTTAAGAGAGCATCTGTGAATGCATCAAGGGGAGCTGGTACTGGATGTGAGAAGATCCCCATCGTTTCCACTGAAGTACAAAAAAAAAAGATGCCACATGTGCAGGAGGGCAACACAAATTCTCTGGTGCATGAATCTGACTACCAAAAAGTGTGCAAAATGATACTAATGAAGGACTCTCTTCTCCACAAAAGTGAACATGAATTCCTAAGAGTGTGATTCACTGAGATGTTCTCTCAGGCCAGCCTCAGTGAAAGAATCAAAGGCTGCCAATGCCTCAGCCCCTAACTATTTCACTGGGGCTGGCATAGGGAACCACCTGATGGATCATGAGCCTAATCCTTTAAGATCCCCCAAGGACATTTTGTGTCAAAGAACCTTGAGAAACAGTAAAAAAAAATCTCATGGGGGAATGATTCCATCAATCTTGTGGCATGTTTGCCTTGTCAGACATCATTCTAAACCACAAATAGGTGAAAACCCAGCTTCCCACACAAACCTGCAAGACAGAATGCTCAGACTGCAGACGTTCCAGGGCAGCTCACTCCTACCCTCTAGTGTTGACATGACTGAGTAGAGCCAATTAGCATGAACAATTTAATGTCCTTGTATGTTCTGACAGATTCATTTGGCTGTTTTTTTAGCTATGGGCTTTTCCGCATGGCTTTCCCCCATCAGTTCTGGCCCCATACTGCTTTGGTTTATCCTGATTTCCACATGCATTTTGTGCTTTTAGTTTTTGCTTCTTTTCCCCTCAGTTCTTTTGAGACCACTTTTACCCCAGTCTTTTTCTGGATGCCAATTTTGACTTGGCTTTTTCCTCATGAGTAATGTTTCTCTCAGTTTTCTTTGTCCCACCCACTCCTACCCATCTCTGGCCCACTTTTTGATGATTGGACTGTCATCATCAAACCACTCCCTCTCTTGGCACCCCAATCTGAAAAAAAGTGGTTTACTTTTATTTAAATGGTTCTAAAATATTGATGTATCAATATAGTGTTTGTAATGATAGGAACTGCGGTGGCTCAAGTGGTTAAGACACTGAACTGCAGGCTGTGGAAGGTCGGCAGTTTAGCAGTTTGAGACCTGAGTGTGTCGCATGACGGAGTGAGCTCCCGTCTCTAGTTCCAGCTCCTGCCAACCTAGCAGTTCGAAAGCAAGAAATTGCAAGTAGATAAATAGGTACCGCTTCGGTGGGAAGATAACAGCGTTCCGTGCGCCTTGGTGTTTAGGCATGCCGGCCACATGACCACGGAAACATCTTCGGACAGCGCTGGCTCTTCGGCTTTGAAACGGAGATGAGCACCGTAACCCTAGAGTCGGATTTGACTGGCTTTCGAGCAAGGGAACCTTTACCTTAATGACAGATTAAGCAAGATCTTTGACTTCCCAGCTTTTGTTGTCAAAAGAGGATGTTTCTAGCCCCTTCCCCCACCCAGATATGGCTTTTCCTCTATATCTCCATGACAGAAGGTGTTAGAGACTAAAAAATGGGAAAGCTGGAAATTCAGAGAATTTGCTTAAATGATCACCACAACACTATACTGATAAAGCATGCCCAAAAATAAAAACAGGAGGGTACTGTGACACCACTGATGATGAAAACACCCTTCCTTAAAAATCCTCATTACTTAAGGCAAGGCACTTGCAGAAGAAAATAAATTGACTCCACAACTGTGAAAATGTACTGGGAGGGCAGACATGTGGGAGCACTGTGCTCAGACTTACTCCACTGTTTGTGGATCAACTGCCAAGGAATCCAGTAGTAAGTTGAACATGAGGAAACGTCTGTTTTTGGAATTAAACAAACTGAAAATCCAGCCACTTAAATCTAAGGCAACTGTTAGTCAGGGCTGTGCATAAGCCATGATTTCACAGACCACACCACAATGCAAATATGTGATACGGGGTGCAGAATTCTGTACTCTTAAGAATGTCAGTGCTTTAATAACAAAGGCACATAACAAAAAGGTTTGCCAATGAAAAAGAGGGTGGGGTGGATAAGTACATGATTTAGTGCTCCAGTACACACATGCATACATGTTCAATCCCTGCACACAGAAATCAGCATGCCAGGGAAACGGCTCAACTAAAAGCCTTATTCCTGGGAAGCTAATTTTCTACAAGTAGGGAAACTTATACTGGGGAATGTAATAATTTCAAGTTATATGTAGGTGTTTCTTTAAATGGTTGGTGTCAGAAGAACAAGAGGGTGAAAGAGGGAGGTGAGTGAGTGAGGTGATTGGTTGGTGACTGAGAGTGTGTGGGCGGAGCTAGATATGTGTGTGGAGAAAGAGAAGGAAGTGTGTTCAGTTTGAAGTCAGCAGTCAGTAGCTGTCAGTTGTGGTCAATCTACACAGTCTGAGAAGTAGTCTTCTAACTAGAATCATATACAAGTGCTGTGAAAGGCATCAAGATTCTAAAGGAAGAAGAACATATACTTAAGGGGGCATATTAGGCAAAATCTAATATACTCAGAGTATTTTAAGAGTGTGAGGGAAAAGGCTGACAGAGACCTGAGTAAAAGGGGAGATTTTACTGAGCAACTTAACAAAACATCTTGTAACCAATACAATAAAGTTTTATCTTGTTTATCATTAACCCAGAGTCTTCTCCTCAGAACCACATAGTCCAACGAAGGAGCCATAGAGCTTGGGCACATTACTGTGGGAAAGGTTAATTAAAGACTGGAATTAAATTCCTGGTGGCAGCGATAGATACTTTGAGTGAGAGAAAGAAACAACAAGGAATTTAAAACTACATCACAACTAACCACACAAAATAAAAGAGAGGTACCGTCACAGGGGAACATTCAAATCATGCAATTCCCCTCAAGCGGACTGTTGACATGATCTGGAGGAACTGTGCTAAAGCTAATCAGACCTGAGCCTCGTCAGTGCTGGATGGGAGACGACTTGAGAAACAGCTTTTAACTGCATAGTCTACTGGTTAGACTAGGATCTTAGAGACCCAGGTTTAAATCCCCACTCTGCCATGGAAGCTTGCTGGCTGATCTCGAGCCAGTCACACACACTCAGCCTAAATTACCTCCCAAGGTTGTTGCGAGAATAAAATGGAGGAGAGGAGAACAATATAGGCTCCTTTAGATTCCCTTTGATGAGAAAAGTGGGGTATTTATTTATTTATTTGCTTCGTTTGAACCCTCCCTTTCTCCCCAGTTGGGACCCAAAACTTCACATCATTCTCCTCTCCTCCATTTCATCCTCATAGTAACCTTGTGAGGTAGGTTAGGCTGAGTGCGTGTGACTGGCTCAAGATCACCTAACAAGCTTCCATGGTAGAGCAGGGATCTGAACCTTATTGTCACAGGTCCTAGTTCAACACTCTAACCTAGGGGTCCCCAACCTTTTTGAGCTCATGGGTACCTTTGGAATATTGATGTAGGGTAGGAGGCACAACCACAAAATGGTTACTGCAGGAGGCAGGTAAAGGTAAAGGTTCCCTTGCTCGAAAGCCAGTCGAGTCTGACTCTAGGGCTGCGGTGCTCATCTCCGTTTCAAAGACGAAGAGCTTTGACTCAGTGCTAGAGTTCCTAGAAAACAAAGATGATGCTTTACAAGCCAACTTGATTGAGTCCAAAAAAGACATAGCTTATTTGACAGACTTCTTTAATAAATGTAATGAAACAAATCCAGGGGTCTTTTTGTAGAAAAAGAGCGGCCAGAGCTCATTAGCATAACTCATTAGCATATACCACACCCCCTGACATTACCGGAAGTGTGTCTCGGGGGACTGGAGCAGCAGCCCTCCCACGCGGCTCGGAAAACCTGGGGCGGGGCTCTCCGGGCCTCCCCCAAGCGGCAGCGCTCCCACGGGGCTCGGGGGAACCTGGGGGCGAGGCTCTCTGAACCTTCCCCAAGCCGCTATGCTTACACGACGTGACGCCCTTCTACCAGTCCTTTGCCCCTTTGAGGCCCTCAGGAATGCTCCACGAGGAACTAGGGAAGCGTCTTCTGCTGTAGGGAAGGCAGCACATTCCCATCTCGCCTGCCCACTTTGGAAAGGGTTATCGTTACACTCAGTCCAGCCCCCGAGTGGTTGGGGTGTGGGTGTGTCTATCGCAGCTATATTCACACACACCTGCCACTGTCCCGAGAACCTCTGGCCACCAGGAAAGGCAGCGCGCCCTGCAGCCGGCCTCGGTGCGAGTTCTTCCCCCTTCCCATCCCTTCCATCCAGCGAGAACAAACCTTTTATGGTGACGGCGTCAGTGCTTACGTACCTCGCTCCTACCCTCTCCGCTGCCTCTCGCCTTCTGCAACGCACGGATTCGGGATCCTGGCTTTCCTCGGAGAAAACCAGACCCACTGCCATCTCAGCAATGCCCTCCCCCCCCCCGTTCGACTCCTCTTGTCACCTCAGGAGGAGGACTCTCCTCTCCCATGCAGAGCGGCTCTCCGTCCAATATCTTTCATCAGCCGCAAGCATCCACTTTGGGGTGGGGGATAGGCAGTCCCTCTCAGCGGGATTAAAGGCACATTCCTTTGTGTTCGTTAGAACCCGACAGCTTTCTTCGGGGCCCTCGACAGGCCTGCATCGAGCCTCTCTCTAACAGCTTTCCGCCGCTTCGGGAGCATAACTGAGGTTAGGGGGAAGGCCTGAGAGTGCGCTAGCACATCAGACCGCGGCATCACGGCGATCACAGCGATCTTGGCAGGTAGGCCTGCCAGTCGTTTGTAGAGGTCTTCCTAACCTTTCTTTGAGGCAGGTTCTAAGAGCACTTCCCGCTTCTTCAACGAAAGAGCTGCTGGAAGTGTGTCTCGGGGGACTCCGGGCCTCCCCCGAGCGGCAGCGCTCTCGTGCGAGCTCAGGAGACCCAGGGGCAGGGCTCTCCGGGCCTTCCCTGAGCCGCGGAGCTCCCGCACGAGCTCAGGGGACCCGGGGGCGGGGCTCTCCGGGCCTTCCCCGAGCCGCAGCGCTCCCGCGCGAGCTCGGGGGACCCGGGGGCGGGGCTCTCCGGGCCTTCCCTGAGCCGCGGAGCTCCCGCACGAGCTCAGGGGACCCGGGGGCGGGGCTCTCCGGGCCTTCCCCGAGCTGCAGCGCTCCCGCGCGAGCTTGGGGAACCCGGGGGCGGGGCTCTCCGGGCCTTCCCTGAGACGCGGAGCTCCCGCGCGAGCTTGGGGGACCCGGGGGCGGGGCTTGCCACCACACGGGCTGCCGGAGCGGTGCTCCGGAGGGCTCCGGCCTGAAAAGACCCCTGGCCACCGCAGAACCAACTACAAAATATCAGGTGGTGAGCTTAGGCATAACTAGTAACTCTTTAACATGTCAGGCAGAAGTTTCTTGCTTACAAACAACTTACTTAGTTGTGCAGTGCTGTGGAGGCAGCAAAGTCGCTAAAGCAAAGTTTTTTAAAAATCTGCATAGCCAATCAGACCTATAATGGCCAATCAGAAGACTTGCTGGGCAACAGCCCTACCTAAAAATACTTGGAAGGTGTCAGGAAAGGTGTCAGCAGGCACTATGGCAACCACAGGCATCACACTGGGGATGCTGCTCTAACTATTACATGAAGTAAATAAAATAAACAAACAGAAGAATGACACAGCAGTGACTAGGAAGGCAATGCAACTACAAAGTGAAATTCTGCACAGTATCCCTTACTGTCACCCCTCTTTTTGCTCCGTGGGGATGTCTCTTTTTCCTTCCCAAGTAGAGGGGGGGATTCCATTCAATCACACATTTTCAGAGTATGCTGTAGTAGTCAGTGTCAGAATAGGTAGGATCTGGGAGACCAAGATTTAAATTCCCACTCTGCCATGGAAGCTTGCTGGAATACCTTGGACTAGTTCCTTTCTCTCAGCCTAACCTACCTCCTAGGGTCATTGCAAGAATAAAATAGAAGACAAAAGGAGAATGTTGTAAGCCACTTTGGTTCCCCATTGGGGAGAAATGCAGCCTGGGTATAAATATCTAAACAAATAGTGCATATGTGTTCTGACGTGAAATCATATTGGCTTACCTGGATCGAGATTATACTTGTCCAGGAACCGGAAGATCAATTTGCTCAACATCTTATGATGGACTTTCTCTGGCCTTATATTGGCCAAGCCTCGATACTGCCTGAGAGGGAACTCATAAAGACACATTTTGACAATTTCTTTTCGTTTTAGGTTCTCAGCAATGCGTTTTTGTAATTTTGGCTGCATTTAATTATTTCAGGAATTTAGGCTAGATATGAAGGGGTCACTGGGTGGGAGTTTAATGACTGCTGTTTACTTTATTATATAAATTTTATTATTTTATATTCCTTAACTTTAATTCGGTTTAATTTTTATTTGATTTTGTTGTTTTTCTGTTGTAAGCTGTTTTGAGCACTTTTATAAAATAGAAGAGGGACATATATCTCATAAATAAATAAAATAATAAAAATGTCCTTCCAAGTTGCTTAACAATGTAGCCTATGTTGAGCCTCACTTGGGTTCCAATAGCCTCTGCATTCTATCTGTTGAGAGTGGCCAGCTAGATGCTTCAGGGGGGGTTCACCACAAGCAAAGCAGGATGGGAATATCCATCCTTTCTGTCAGTAACTGACATTTGGTAGCCAAGAGATACAATTCCTCTGAATAGATGAGCTACTTTTATATGCAGGGCTGGGTATACAATGCAATCTCATACAAAAGACAGAAGTTTGAAGTTGGCCCCAGATGCAGAATGCAACTTCTTGATAATCTTAGCTTTCATCAAACAAACAAACAAGTTTGTAGCCCTCATGGCTGCAAAAACTGAAACATGTGAGCAGTGCTGGCTAAAATATCAGAAGCCAGAGGGTTAGCGGAATAAGATTGCCAGCAGACGGGGAAAAGAGATTTGGTGTCCTATGTCTTTTCCCCTCCTGATAATGTGCAGAAAGGGAATAATTTATGCAAAGTAGCAAAAAAAAAAAGTAGGAGAGGTTATGGACATTTGCTTAATACACCTGCAGAATCTGAGATGCCTTGATGGAGAATTTTCAGCCCCTGAATCCACAGAAGATCTAACAGCTATTGCAGGAAACAAACAGAGAGACAGCCATCTACCTTGAATAAAATGTTGTTGGTCCTAAAGGTGCCACTGGACTCAAACTTTGTTCTTCAGCCACCTACCTTGTGACAGTTTCAGTCCTGAAGCCTGGTTCACACCACGAGTCCAACAGGCGCAGGAGCTGCTGCTGCAAATTGGGGTATTCTTCCACATATGATTCAACAACGTTCATTTTATCTTGAAGCAGCAACGGAACACACATCTAAGAAGAGGTCAAGAAGCTGAGAAATTTGCATTGTTGCTGCAGCAGTGGTTTCTTTGCATGCTGGTGGATATGATGACAGCAAGAGGAGGGGATGTTGCATGCTTCAGGGGGGAAAGGTCTCTGTATGTAGAGGACTAGCTTCTTAGGGAGAAGGCCGAAGACAGACAGGCAGACTCCCATTCATGCACTTATTAGGGTTTTTATATGGACAATAAACTTTACCTTCTCAACCTCCAGGTCTGGCTGTAGTTTCAATTTTATGCTTAAAATGGCAGCCTAGAAAAAACAAATAGACAGGAAAAAATTATGGATGCATAAGGAAGGACAGCATCAAAGATTCACACACACATATTCAATTTGCACTCTTCAGGCATCTTGGCATGTTCCTGGCCGTCACAGGAATTTCCCCACACACCCAAATTTGATTCCAGTGGGTGAGGGTCCTCAATCCTGGTGCTGCATCCCACTGGTGACTTTTCTAGAGCTGTAATACAATGCTACTGCCATGTTATGTGCATTTCAGGGGACCACTGCTTCAAGATGTTGCTGCCCCCCCCCCCAATGCATAGTTGTAAAAACAAACAAAACAGTTTGGTGTCAGTGACTGCCTTGGTGATTCCTCATGCATTACCCCCCCCCCCACACACACACACACTTCATTGCCTGCTACAACAATGTTAAATCACAAACCTCTTTGGCTCCTCACTACCAGGGAGAGGAAAATCAGCATCATTCCTGCACCTCCTTGTAATATATTGTAACACAGAGAGAGCCAGAGCAGGGGAATGGTTAGAGTGCTAGATTGGGATCTGTGAGACCCAAGTTCAAGTCCTCACTCTAACCTACCTCACAGGGTTGATGTGAGGATGAAATGGAGGAGAGGATAATGATGTAAGCTGCTTTGGGTCCTCATTGTGGAGAACGGCAGGGTATAAATTATGTAAATAATACAGTTGAAAAAATAGGGGGCAGATGAAAGGTAGGTAGGTAGGTGGGTTTAAGGAGAAAAGGAAATAATAAAAGGTGACAATATGAGGGCTGCCAGGAGAAGGAAAAGAGGAAACTGTGTGGGGAGGGGGAGACAAGGGGAAATTAAGTGCCCCCTCCCCGAGACCTTGCAAGTTCTCCACTGTGCAACTGGGCCTGGCGGGCAGCTAGCACTGTGCAGAGTTTTTTCAGGGTGCTGCCAGGAGGTGGGAAGGAGAGAAAGCTGGAGATGGGGGGCAGGTAAAGGAAGGCTGGTTGGTGGTGGGGAAGGAAACAAGGAAGCAGGAAAATGGGAGAGGCTATAGGAGCTTTCAGGGAAGGAACAAGAGGGAATAGTGGGGGGGATGAGATGGCCCCTTGCAAGACCTTGCATGTCCCCTGCTTGTTTATACCTAATTTCAGTCTCCTGGGTAGTATGGAAGTATACCACATTTGGGGATTGTGTTTCAAGTCCCTCAATTTGGACAAAGAGATGAACAAACATCGTATACACAGACTTCTTACAATCACAATACTTTGTTCGACTGAATCCATCTAGGTCACTTTTGACTACTCTGACTGGCAACAGCTCTATATTGTCTCAGGCAGAGGAATGCCTTTCTGAGCACCTGACACCCAAAGATCGTGATAGTGGGAATGCCAGGAATTGAACCTGAGACTTTCTGAATACAAAGCAGGTGCTCTCCTATACAGCTACAGCCTCAAACAGAATGTCTGGGAGTGCCTCAAGTGAATGTCATCTTTATAGAAATAGTGTATATGGACAGTCCAGCATTCTGTTTCATACAGTGGCTAACCAGTTGCCCTGGGGGGGACGACAAATAGGACACAGAGGCTGAGCTACGGATGCCAAACCCCTTGGTGGAGGTGGGGAGTCCCCACTGCCAGGTCCTGCCCCCCAGCCAGCCAGCAAGGGGATTTACCAGTAGAAAGAGAAAGGTCCAGTCCACATTGCTGGCATCACACATGAAGTGATCTCACCATGCCAGAAACTTCCAGCCAACGTTCTGGCATTTGGGCAAAAACTCTCTGGTAGAAGCCAATTTTACCACAGAGTTTTTGCCCAAATACCAGAGTGTCCCCTGAAAGTCTCTGGCATGATGATCTCACTTCCTATGCAGTGCTGGCAACATGGACTTGGTCTTTCTCTTTCTCCTGGTAAGACCCCCCCATCCCCCGCTGGGTGTCAGGAGGGACCTGGCAACCCTAGGCCAAGGCCTGAACCTGAGGTTGCCTCCTAGTACCAACATTCACAGTTTTACTGCCTCTGGATGTGGAGATTTCCATTAGTTGTCTTTGCTAGTAGCTGCTGAAAACCCATTCTCCATGAATCTATCTAATCCTATGCTGCTCACCATGCGCTGCTGAAAACCCATCCTCCATGAATCTATCTAATCCTATGCTGTTCACCATGCTATTCTTTATATACACTTCAGTATTCTCTCTGTATCATTTATTAATAAGCTCTTCACATGGCAACAGATTTTATAAGGTTGCGCACATTTTGCTTTTCTGAGCTCGTACCACATAGCAGCCAAAAATGATATGGTCCTTATTCTGGAATCTGGAAGATTGTAAAGACAGGCTTAAAACACAGGGATTACGATCTATGCTTAATTCTCAAAAGGAGGGCTTAATTGGCAGGCTGGTGGTAAGCAGAGCTCTTAGCAAATCTCAGCATTCCTTTTTTAAAAAATCTCAAGTTTCTAGCCCTACTAGCAGTGAAGATACACCAGGGAAATCTACAAAGCCAGAAAAGAGTTGCTGAACAACACCTCTAGTGGTCAGAGGCAAGACTCCAGTACATTGTGCTCACAATTAGCAGTAGAATGAATTATGCAAATAGGCTGCAATTTAATTTACTTATTTTATATAGCTTCTCTGAGCAGGGAATTTTGACATGTGTGCATGTGTTAGAAAAATAAATTTTATACAAAGTAGAGAGGGGGAGACAGTCTCTTTTACAAGGTTGTATTAGCAAATGAACTGAAGTTTGGGGAAGGTGAATGATTTTAGAGCGATAAAAGCATTCCTGTCATGCATCTTATATGTTGACACAATAGGGTTGTGAGATCCCTCCTGGCAACCGAAGGGGATGGGGGGGGGACTTCCCAGGAGAAAGACCCAGTCCACAATGCCAACATCGCATAGGAAGTGATGTCATCACACTGCCAGAGACTTTCAGGGGACACTCGGGTATTGGGGCAAAAACTCTATGGTAAAACTGGCTTGCACCATAGAGTTTTTGCCCAAATGCCAGAGCATTGCCTGGAAGTCGCTGCCATGATGACGTCACTTGGTGTTAAGTCCTGGCAATGTGGACTGGACCTTTCTCTGTCCACTGGTAAGTCTTCCCGCCAGCCAGATGATGGTAGTTGCAGGTAGTTGACATGGACCATGATTCCCACCATTAGCTGCATATTAGCACTGATCTGGTGGAAAAAGCTTCCAAGGGGAAATGAATATGCAGATCAAAAAAATAAATGCCACAATTCATTTCAATCTTATATATTATCTCTTCAAATTAAGAAAAAGCTAATCCATTCTGCACAGAGAAAGCCAATGTAGCGTAGTGGTTAATGGGTGGGGCTATAATGACAGTTTGTGTTCAAATCCTATAAACCCTGTGTTAGCCACACTGAACTCCTTGGAAGGATACAGATGAGTTATTGAAATGACAACCCCATAACTAAAAACAGTCAAATGGTTAAGGGAAAGGAGCCTTTAATCTTTGAACAAAAGCAGTATTAAATATATATATTTCCCTGTCTTCAATAAAGAAAACCCATTAATATAATTTTCCAAGGCTATAAAACACCAAACAACATTCTTCTCCACACCCAGAATCATTCTAGTCAGCAAGGGGAAAAAAGCAACTGATTGTACCTCTTCCTTGGCCTGTCTCCACAACCACCTGTTTAGAATTTAATATACTGCTATTAAACAAAAGAGAGAGAGAGAGAGAGACTACTGCTGGCCTTCAAAACAAGTTCTACTGTATGTGACCCACAAATGCACTCCCTTCCTCCCCAAAAATCCAGAAGCAAAAGGAACGGGGCTTTCTTCTTTTCTTTTAAAAAGCACAGTTATCTTTTTACCTTTATAAGCTGTTTAAAAATGTAAATAAAATAACTCAATAGACAATAGAGGGCATTCATTTTGCCTGAAGACGGCCGCCACCCCTTCGACATGAAATATCGCGGCACATTAAGTCATGAGACCCCGCTAATCAAAGCTGACAGGGCCTTCAATGTCCTTTGCTGAGGGGGACTTAGCGGTATCATGGGGGCACTGAAGCACGCCAGACTGCTCCTGTTCATATGACAATAGCTTTTCTTCCCTAAAGGGGCCGGCCAGTGACAAGAGTCCCCTTTGTCTGCCCCATCCTCGCACTGGGGAGTGCAAGAGAGGCCCATTCAAGCAGGGCCAGACACCCTTTGAAAGGCTGAAGTGTAACATAAGATGCGGATGAAACACTAGCCTGCCTTCTGCCTAGCCCCTCATTCTTTCTGAAGCACAGGCCTGGCCTATTCATTGCTGCTATATTAGCCTCAAAGTCTGCTCAATTCCGGCATTGTTTCAAAAAAGGCCCTGCCGGCAGCCATCTTGGTTCCCTCAGAAACCAATAGTCAACACTGAAAACACAGAGGGAAAGCTAACTTTTAGCTTGTACACCTGTATGAAGGGTGCCTCTCCAATCTTCTCTTTGGACAGCACCTATCAGATTTTAGGTGCAAAAAATATAAAGAATATGCCCTCAGTAACTAGTGGTCTGACAGACCATCCCAACTGAAATTATTTAATAAAGTACAGGATCTCTATAACTGTATCTGTGGGAACAATCTGTGGTTAAGGTCCTGTTTCTACAGTAGCTAATTTCTGTAGCAGCTAATGATTCTGAGAACCAAGATGTTGGCTCACATGGGTACAATGGTTTCTGGTATGCAGTGAACTGGCATCAAAAAGAGGTTGCCATGTGCCCAAGGAAAAAGAATTCTCATGTGACACTTATCAAATCACATAATGAAGGGTCCCTGGCATAGTGGAAGAGCATACACTATGCATGCAAGGACTCAGTTGCTCAGAGCTAAAGAAAAACCTAATATGAAAATGTGGAGAGGCCCTGACATTTAGAGTAGATAGCAGAGGCAGATGGACCAATCCTCTGGCTCAGGATTAGGCACTATTAGGCATTGTTATGTGAACTAAATAGGCACTATTAGGCATTATTATGTGAACTAATACAGTGTGGTGTAGTGGTTAGAATGTTGGACTAGGACCCTGGAGACCCAAACTGGGTTTACCTTGTGCCAGTCCCCATCTCCCAGCTTAACCTACCTTACTGGGCTGCTGTGATGATAAAATGAGTGACCCAGGTACCCCACCATGAGATTTGGAGGAAATATGAGATTTTGTTAAAAATCTAATTGTGCATCTGTTCAAAGCTCCCTTCCCTCCACAGACTCTGCCACACAGCTGAGATTTCAGCACTGAACTTACTGAATGAACATGCTCCAAACCCCTCTTACCTAAAATTATGAGCAGACACACAGTTACACTCTTGTAATCAGATACCCTCCTTTGTGACAAACAACACTTCTTTTTAAAAAGGAAAGAAAGCCCTTCTCCTGCGGCTGGCGAGACAGAGCTGAGCGATACAGCTGGATGCATTTACTGCTGAATGCACAGGCCCCAAGAAATTGGCCCAGAGCCTAGAAAACAGCTCGTCCTTTGAATCTCCCACCTCTGATGTTAAGAGCTACTATTTCTTCAAACTTGAAACTGCTACTCTGGGACCTGGCAACAAGCAACACCACCACATAGTGGCCATAAAAGTATATTACAGGTTTCTTTTTTCAAATGTAAGGATGCCAACATGGGGAAGCCGCAACATGCCAGTTTCTCTGAGCTTCATCCATTAATTCGATTGTATCTTGCCCTTCCATGCAGGAGGGCTGCACAATAAAACATCATAAAACCAGCAGAATTAAAAATGCAAGTATTAAAAGCCAACAACAAACTATGATCACAGCTAAAAGCAATCATTAATTCACCGGTATCTGTTAAAACCGACATAAAAACCTGGGCCTGAACTCATTACTCTTTGGCCGACTGAAATCAGTGCTCCTTCTTTCAGTGAGGTCTAGCTGCTCCCTCCAGGGAGATATTGTAGATAAGGGCAGGAGGATTAGGACTGGGAGAGGGGGCAGAGAAAAGGCAAGGGGTATGTCTCACCTCTTTGAACTTGTCCTTGTGGTGGAGGTGGCTGATGTGGCCCAGAAGGTGGCAGCGATCTGCAGCATGCAGCTGATAGATGCTGATCAGCAAGTCCATCAGGCTGATGTGGCACTGAGCAAGCACGGGAAACACACGGGACTGAAGCTTCCTTAACCTCAAGCCAGACTGAAAAATCAGAGAGAGAAATTCTAGAAGTCTACAATTTTTTCAGCCTCAGAGTGGTATAACGTCAGCCTTTTGGGAGCTGAGCTGAAAACAAACCCGTACATGCTTGCCCCAATGCTACCTGCTTTTAAAATCATTTCAGCCAAAGGAAAATTCAGATTGTGTACCTCATTCTTATTTCTACCCATGACTGTTTTCCTCCCTCCCTGCCAAGTACATCACACTTTAATTAGCCAAATAATCCAGTACAAAATTAATTTATAGAATTCACTGCCATCAGATATGGTGATGACCATTTAAAGCTTTGGTAGCTTTTTTTTCTTTTAAAGAAAACAAATTCACGAAATAGGAGAAGCATAGAAATAGTTGGTAGTTAGCAACCAGGTAAATGAAACTTCCATCTTCAGATGTAGCATGACTACAATCCTGGGGACAGCCAACAGAAAGGAAGACTGTTGCCTTCATGCCCTGTTTGTGGGCTTCCCAGTAGCATCTGGCTGGCCTTTGCTGGAAACAGGATGCTGGGCTAGATGGACAGGCATCCAAAAATGCAAGTGTTGGGTAAGACTATATTGTTTACCCTGCTTCTCCCAAGACAGGCAAGAACTCTTCTCTGATCTTGGGATGACCTTTGAGAGCATTCAGAAGAAAAAATATCATCTACTTCCAAGTGCAGACCTCAGTGATGAGGACTCTCCCACAATCCTCTATGCATGTCAGGGGTCTCAGAAGGCCAGAAGCAACCACAAATAAGGATTGACTACCAAAGCCAGACAAAATCTGTAGGTAGACCGTTGGTCTGATCCTGCAGGGCATTTCATATGTCCTTAACCTGGATTCTCAGCTGGCCTCTCTGAATATAGGGAGATCCACCCTGTAGCCTGATCATTAGAAACCCTGAACCTGCAGGGAGATGCTAATAAAGCTCTTAACAACATGGCATTCTTTGAGCCTCACCTTCTTGCAGGGTGTGACTTAAGCAGCCATCACAGCACACCTGCTGTTGGCAGTGTGCTGTGCATGAGATTTGGTAGACTGACGGCTGGCATGCAGGCAGTGCTGTCTCACAGCTGGGATGTGTGCACATAAGCATGTGCATAACAACAAACTCTATGTTTCTTTGGGAAAGAACAAGCTGATGTGATAAAAATAGGGCATGCCTACAGGGCACAAAAATCTACCAAGTTCCATCCAGGCTCAGGGCACATCCACTCACCAACTGGCAATTAGGATGTTCCTTTATCCAGAACTGTAATTCATGGGCAATGTGGTGTGCCAAGGAATGCCCTTTCCCTTTCCAATCACTGCTGGCCTCCAGCACATCCAGTAGCCACTCCAATGGCTCTTTGAGGGTTGCAAAGGCCAACCAGATTTCTTCCCTGAGCTGTGGAAAAAAAGACATGCATTTGTCAGCCAGACTTTATCCAGGGCTATGATTCTGTGAGCGCACAGGATATGCTTTTGAGTGCAGAATCTAGCTTCTGAAACTCTTGGCTTTTTTGTCTGTTTTTGTTTTAAAGCAAGTGTCTAACCCATATGAGTAGCAGATATGTTTACAAATGTGTGGCAAGACCTGCTGAAATCTGAGAAGCCAGAGAAGCTATTGAATAATATTGTCAGTGGTGAACAGATATGGCCAAAGTCCAGCATGTTAAAAAATTGCAAAATTAGGCCAAGAAAAGAAAGCATGCAAAAACACCCAATTTATGCAGGCTGCTGAATTCCCTTTCTTCCTGATGCAGAATGTTAATGCTTTTGACACAAAGTACACCTATCTCCATTTAGCATCAATGTTCAACATGGGTTATTTCCCCGCTAGCATGAAAGGCCTAAATTATGCAATCATAAAAAACCTCCAGCAAATGTTCTTTATTTGTATAATTCATTCACATCTAAGATGATAGGGATTTTTTTTTAATGGTCTCACCTTTTCCATTTCTTTCTTTGCTAAGAGAGGCTGAAGATTTTCTAGCAATGAGAGTGGATCCTGACCTGGAAAGAAGGAAGGGTGGCAATTTTTAACCACAGCTATAGCTATATGCACACACATTATATTACATTTTATAAGCACACGCACCTACAATAGATTCTGCGTTTCTGCCCAAACATAATGGTGTTATCTATCCAAATGGCACTGAGGCCTCAGGGGTGCCCTTTCTTTTCTCAAAGTAGGATGTCAACCATCTGTTATTCCATCCCAACCCTGATAAACCAAAGCGAGAGACCAGGAATGCCTACCCATGCCCATCCCAAACTTGTTTGCCACTGAGTGAGCCCAATGCCATCCAGCAAGTTAGTGGGAGAACCAAAATCCCAAGCTGTTTTCTAGACCCTGGCTGCTACTCAACATGGTACTAGTGCACATGCACATTTGCTTCCTCTTTTAAGTTGCTTTAGAAGCCCTTGGTGAACTAAACCAATTTTTCCTATGGGAAAATTACAGGATCTCCGGATACACATACTTCACTCCCTTGATGACGATGGTAGTTCTTGCAAGAGGCCTGGATAGTTCAATGTGCCGCCCTTCCTTTCTTTCAACTCTGCCCTGCTGTGGACCACGTGCTTTATGACTAGCCAAAGTCCTGAATTCCTCTAGAAATGCCCGGGAGCCTGCTTATCTTGTTCCTTTCGATAAACACCTCTTGCATCCTGTTTTTCTCCTGTCAGTCAAGCAGGAAACTGACGATTGTTTGGGGATGTGTGTCAGTCAACAGGGGTGCTACCGGGGCTGGTCACATGCAACCTGCCCATTTGCCACTGAAAACTTTGGGTCTTTTCAGAGAAAACACTGCTGCTGTGTTGACTCGTAGGGTTGCCAGCCTTCTGCTGGAGTCTTAAGTTCTCCCAAAATTACAGCTGATCTCCAGACTACACAGAAGGAAATGTCAGCTTCAGAGGACATCACAACCCCACTGAGTTGCCTCCACTACCTAAATTCTGCCCTCCACAGACCCCACTTCTCAATCTCCAGGAATTATTTCGAGCTGGAGTTGGCAAAGTACAAAACAGGATGCTTATCCAATTTCTCAGCAAAAACTCAACCTCCTCATGCTGACCTGCATTCTGACCAATAAATGCAAAGGCATGGGGATGACTGACAAGCACTTGGCTCCCCCTCTCCCCCCATTCTTCCAAAGGCCTAATTCTCACTGAGGCAATCTATCCAGATGGGACTCACATGATTGAATGCTCCTCCATATAAAAATTCCCTGCACACAAACTTGGTTTCACAAACGAAGCTTATGTCTAGCCTTTTGCTTGAAAATGGAAAAGAAGCATGTCAAGGAAGAGGAATTAGGGGGGGGGGGTATTTTTGCATTTATGTGTGTGTGTGTGTCCCCATGCCTGGACGTTATGGCGACCTCTGGCAACTCCTACTGCGGCATGGAAGATGTTCAGAGAAGTGGCTTGATAGCCTGCTTCTGCTTCCTGACTCTAGTATTCTCTGGAGGTCTGCCATCCAAATACTTGCCAGGGTTGGCCTTGCTTAGCTTCTGAGATCTGACGAGATCGGGCTTGCCTGGGCTATCCAAGTCAGGGCTGGGAAGAGGAATATTTTAAAAAATCAATAATGTGAGCCCCCACCACTACCAGCAATCTGAAGTAGTACAGTTTACCACCTCTGTAAGAATTAGACCAGTCTTCTGACTTGCCATACCATGCATACCATGGCCTGGTCCAGAGAAAGCAGAATTCCAGCCCTCCAGACTCTACCACACCGCTTGACCTCTGTCATATCTCACAAATGGAGGCCAGCTCCGTTGAAGCTCTCCATCAACATGAACACAAAATACAAGGCCAGGGGTCACATTTCATAGCAGATCAGGCAAGAAATGTGATCTCAGCTGCATTTATAGAAATATGCAGCAATTACAGCTGTACCATTATATATGGAATGTCATACATATGTTGTACATAATAGATGGCAAAATGGAGCTGTACAAAGAGACTGGAACCAAAGTCATAAAATGCCAATCCTGTTGCAGCCTCTGTTAAATACAAATGGGTCTTCAAGAAGGAAGCCGAAGCCCAGTCCTGCCAAATAAACAGAGAAAAAACAGGATGCCCACTCACTGTACTCTCCAGCTCGGTGCTTTCTTTTATTTAAATCCTTTATCAGCTACTTCACAGACCAATTACAGGAGTGCCTTCATATAGGGGTGGGGAGTGGGTACTATGCTGGCCTGGGCTATTAGCTAGTCATATTGTCACTCAGCTATGTATTCCTGGTTCGACTGCATTGTTCATTCGATGTCCTATACTGTAATCCATCTTGCATCTCAGTGAAAAAGGCAGGCTATAAATAAGCTAAATAGATTATGTTAAAATCAGCAAAATAAAGAAATTTTAAAAATTCTTTCCATTTTCAACTGTTGTTTTCTCCTAATTTTGCACACCTGCTCCTTAACATTATGATTATCTCTCTGCTGCTGCTTGTTTCTGATTTGTTTCAATGAACATTTTATATGATTTGTTGTATTGCGCTTTTATTCTGTAAACTGCTTTGCAAGCCATTATGAAAAAGCAGGATACAAATATCTAAGTGAGTGACACAGAGACAGAGAGAGATTAATTCTATTGAAGGATTCTTTTAAAAAGTCAACTGTCATGTCACCTTGTGGCACAAGACCAAATCCAGACTGAGGTTTTCTTTCTCAGTGTCTAATCACACTTCCCAACCACTTTATCCAGATAGTAAATATTCCTAAATATATTTTAACTGCACCTCTTCTACAATTAGCACAACACCAGTGTCACTAAACATTTCACCAAAATTAAACTGGAAGCCAGTAGCACCTTGAAGACTGACATTTTGTTTCCTAGCATAACATAATAAAAGTCATTAGCTTTTAGGGTGCTTACTGGACTCCGGTTTAATTTTGCTGCAACAGGCTAACTGTTAAGTCCGGCGCTTAACAATGAGTCGAAGAGTGATTTCAGCAAAACTCAGGTTTATTCAGCTCGATAATCAACTTCTCCAACACGGTACAACTCCTCATAGCCCGAACAGCTTGTCCATTTCAGCTGCTCGGTATTTAAACATTCCGGGCTAATGTAGCCACACCTACTATACAAGTTCCAACCTATCAGGTTGTTCGCATAATAGCCCAATCACAAACGTTCCCACCACAGACAGTTCAAATGTGATTGGACACAATACTTTCGGCGCGAATCCTAGCCGACGTTCAAGCTTAGCATAGCTTTCCTATGGGATGATTCACACTTCATCCCCCATGCATTCAGGGCAGCATCTGAATACATTACAATTTAGCATAGCTTCTCTATGGGATGATTCACACTTCATCCCCGTGCATTCAGGGCAGCATCTGAATACACTACAAATCCCTCCCCCCTAAGCAAAAACACTACGAACAGTCATAATCACTCAGGTAGGAAGGTGCACGTCGATTTCTCTGAGATCTACGAGGTGGTAC